CAGCATGTGACTTCGCAAGCTTGACATTGGGTATCTTTGTAGTCTGAGATGACTGTTTGCAGATACTAACCTAATACGCTGTTAGATAGTCGCGGAACTAATGCCCCGACCCAACTAGAACTGTCTACCTCCGAGGAACAGTGACATACAGTATATAGTCTAGAGATAGGCCTCCCCTCTTTTCATAGTAGATCTCGCGGCCCAGAATCTTCGGCATGGATCCCTCAATCCACTGATCGACTCCTCAGGTACCAAGATTTCGGTACGACTGCTCGAACCGTCTACCTGGTCCAGAGCAGGGTTCTAGCCTCGGCGTATAGCACGCGCTAACGATTGGATCCTTTGGTAGCAAATCATAGGTCGAAATTGTCGAAGGATCTTGTTGCTGTGGATTCTGTGAGATTGTTGCCGTGGGTCTGTGATTTCGAAATCCCCATGTGTTTGATTGATGGGAGATTCAGGGTTCGAGATATCGTATTCTTGTGTTAGGTTGTATCGGGAGATGTCGCCCCGAGAAGATTCCTGGTGCTTATCTGAGATAAGTGTAGTATGAGCATGGGATTGCTTAGGTGACCCAGTATGCCGGTTCGCAATCTCAATCGAAGAATTTCCAGTTGCACCTTGACATTAATGCAAATAGTTCAGGACTTGGAGCCGAAAATGATTGACGTCTTTCAATTCTTTTCATAACTGCTGGCACGGTTGATCCAAGATTAGTCCTTATCTTATCTTATCGCTTATCTTCAATGTGCAGTATCTCAACCCAGCCCATGTTCTAGCTACCCACTCAATACCAACCATAAATCTGCAATCTCCGCTCTGTCACCAACATCATGTTCTTTCAATACTAGATAAATCTGTACTTGTCTGCAAACAATTACATCGCATTAGTAAAATCGCAGGTGCTGCTGAAAAGTTTGTTGTTATTGTCTTTTTTAGCAAACGAGCACGCTCCTCCTAGGGTAGCTGCAAGATTTATTTCTATGCTGCTAGCGGGAATCTCATGATGGCAGACTTTTACTTTGCAAACAACTTATTTAACATCAAATATTGGCAACACTGCCAAGAATGTCCTGGAAAAGTCTTGCAGAGACCAGCTAGTTTATCACTCGTATCAATCTAAGTTACTGTAAGGCCACTAGCCATCTAGTCAGAACCTCTGAACGTTTCTCCTAGATAGGTACGACACTGATCCCTCCCTTTGGTCAACGGTATTGCTTTTCGAAGCTCACACTGCCCCTCAGCTGCCTGTATGAACCCCATCGGTCTCTGCCCACAAAACATCCACTCGAGCTTTGGAAAGATGGCAGCATACTTCTCAGCCTGATTAAGCATCCGGTTACGATGCATCCTCTCCCATAAGGTCTCCACATCAAACCGCCCCGTAGCGTCTTCGTCCACATCAAGCTCTGGCCTCGCTAACACATCATCCCTCGACCTGGGTCCCGGTACTCGAAACTCGTAGTACAACTCATCAGGGAGCTGAGGTATGGGAGCAGGATACGTGTCCTGAACTATCGCCAGCTTGGTGAGTCTTTGGAGCCTCCTGAGCCGACGGCGCAGCTTGTCATGATCTACAAGCCAGTAGTGTTGCGGTCCGTAACTTTTTCCGGCGCTGAGACTCAGCTGCTCCAGAGAAACAAGCCTTCCGATGATTCTTAGGGACTTTGTTGAAATCTGAGGTTCTCCCCAGGTTAGATGTAATGATCTGAGGCTACCAAAGTCGCAGCTGTTGAGTATGGGCATAACAAAATCATCGAGATACGGAACTCCTTCCATGGCCGCTGATGCCTCGTGGAGATACAGTCTACGCAACCACGTGTGCTGCGAGATGAACTTTGCGATGCGCCTACAAGCTGAGATGTTCCGCGGCGCAAAAGAAACAACAAAGTCCTCAAGATCTCGTAAAGGCTCGCAATCAAAGACTGAGGGATTTTGTAATACCATGTGGTCTAAATCAAGCGACCTGAGAGGCGATTTGAGAAGAGATGAGATACCAACGCTGTCGAGCTCCACAAAGTTGATCCTCAAGTATCGCAGGCGAGGAAACGACACGGCTATGTCTCCGATAGAGACAGGGACGCCTTTTTGTCTTGTATCGTTCAAATACATCCAAGTCAGAGACTCGAGGGTCTGTGAGCAGAGGCGGAATAGGGTTGAGAAGAAGCTCGTCATGTGATGCGTGCCAGTCTCTTCGCATTTCTCTCGAATCTCCCTCCATTTGTCTCGTGCCATACTAACGTGAAGTTTCAGCGACCTGAGCGGCCAGACCGAAGGTGTCAGAGGCGGCGTCAAAGACCAGGCATCATCGATCACCAGCCTGTCCAGGTCGATGTGCTGTGCTGAGCACCGCGTTATCTTTTTGAAGAAATCCCTGTCTAGAGAATACTGATCCTTCCAGCTAAGACTTTCGAGGTTCGGCAATGATGAGATAGCCTCGACTGCAACTGCTCGTGCGGCGACATACTCCGCACCCGCCTGGTGATAGAGAATATACCGTTGTTTATCGGTGAATGATTCAGAGTCTTGGCCATCGAATGCCTCATAAAGCTCTCGATGAGTATGTGCAACATGGTGTGGATGCGAAGCAAACGTAACCTTGCGAATACAAGCACCAATACTAGGTCTGATAGGCTGGGAAGAGTTGTCTTGTGCAAGCTGAGAAGCAAGCTGCCTTGCTTGGAGGCTGTAGTCGAAGTTGACCTCGGCGAATTGACAGCAGCGCGCAAGCTGCCGACAATCACTATTGACTAGCGCAAGGGACCCCAGCGACGTCTTGTCGTCGCTTAGAAGATCGACGATATCAGCAAGGATCTCGGCAGGTAATTGGACAGGTTCGCAGCTGGATGCCCTGGGTCGGCCTTGCATGACTGTGTCGAGAAGAAGGGACCGTGGCTGGATGTTTTCTTTGCCGAATTTATCAACGCCCGGCAGCTCAAGAAGGTGCATCATTAGCCTGACGATGTCACGGTCGTCGTCGAACTCCATGGTGATAGATGTCAGAAATGAAGTAGTGAAGGTTTGGACAGCGTGGAACAAGTTGGCCTGGGCGAAGCTGCTTTCTATATAGGTTATGTCTGCTTGTGCATTGAGGCACCTTGTTGACTTGGGTGTTCATCAAGGTGAGTGGCAGTACCTAGTTGTACGATGAGGGGACTCTGTTTTAAGTTTGTTGTGTTTTGGGGCGTAGAGTATGACGCCTTGTCTTGTGTTGTGATGAGGAGGGGAAAGGAAACTTTATTTAGAACGCTACATGTCAAGACGTGGCGTCATTTCTCTTTCAAACTATTATCACTTAATGTTCATATAAATAGACAGACTATAGATGATCTTGAAAAAAAGCTCCAGGTCGCTGATGATTATACAAGATTTGACAATAGTTCTTAACGCAAGATAACATTTTACCTCGACATAAAGTGTCGGAAAAATAACAATCCCAATTTGGTTATCTTAACCCAGTCTCTTCATTATCTAGGATAAACATTTCGTGCCTCTCCTTGGCTCCCATCTCCTGAGATGACATGGTCGACTTCTTGGTTATGTCTGCTGACAGCCAAGCCGGCTCCATGGCCGCCGTTAAGTGGATTGATGTCAGCTTGGCACCAATGAGATGTACAAAAGTCAGGCTGAACAGGCTAAGCGAGATGAACCGTACCACATTGGCGCATCTGATACTCGCGCGCTGATGGATAAAACTCGCATTGTTCCTGCATCTCCGCAAGCTCGACAGATACTGTGCATATAATATGAGCAAAAATGTTGGGCAGTAATCGGATAGTCCAGCTACAGATTATCCTGTTCTGTCTGCTGACTCTGTGCCTTGCGAAAGATGACGAAAATTATGACAACTCGACTAACTACCGTCCTCGCAACGTCACAGGCCTCGGCGACTTCTATCAATGGGTCGGATCGTGAGTCTCGCGGCGGGGAAGAGCCATGATAATTTGACTAATCAAGTCTATCAACAGCTACTATAACGCGACCGCAGAAGTCGAATTGAAACCCATCTTTGGAGACGTCTGGAATGAGACGATATTCGGCCCCAACTACACGGACAATCTGTGTTCAAAGTTAAAGAACTCGACTCAAACCGTCAAATACGACGCCATTTTGAGTATCATCGAGAAAGGCAAATGGAATGCTGGAAGCAACTCTGTTATCTTCTGGCTGACGCTTATTCCAAAATCCTCGGCGGGATTTAACGTATCCTCTCTTGGTGCCGACTTTACGTATTCATCTCAACCCGGAGGGCTTCAGTTTCCTCTTTATTCTGTCCGGTAATTCAACCACTATCGCTCAGTCTGAACTATCTAACTTTAATGCAGTCCAAGCCCAGATGGATATTGGCGACCCCGTCAGGGAAAGGGCCCTGACATCTTCAACTTCACCACTACCCAGACCAGTTCCGGAGCGTACAATATCAGCGCCCTACTCCAACGCAATATCCCCGAATCATACTCATCACCTCTAAATCTAACCATGCCAGTGTGCAACACCACCGAGCTTAGTGGTGACTATAGAGTTAACATAGAGGAGTTCCGATCTTGGCAAGCAGAGGACTGGGATGACTTTCGATGGCCCGACATCAGCGTCATGTTCGACGACAAGACAGCTAACCTTACAATGGACGCTGTGTTCTCTGCGATTCCATATGTGCAGCCTAACGTGAGTAATTGGCAGGGACCTACAACAAGCGACCCTGGCGCTCATGGCTTCATACAAATTCGCGTGTCTGGGGTTATCGACCCATATCACTCGGATTCTCTCCGTCTTGAAGAAAAGACTCCTACTTGGATGCGAACAGTGGGTTTTGGGAATGATTCATCGAATATTGGTTATAAAAGTGGAGCTATCAAGTTTTCATCTAAGTATACTATATCGATCATGGCTGTTGCTATGGGTATTGCGGTGCTTTTATAGACTAGCTTCAGCTATATATATATTCAGCGAATATAGAGTTCTATAGCTACTGTCTAAAACTCCGACTTCTTCATTCTAGGCTATGCCATGTCGCCTGGTAGCTGTTGACTTGAGTCGACCAATACTTCATCCGTGTAGTCGAAGCTTATGAATAAATCCCCACCGAAATCTGATTCACGAGCAATATGTCAGTTGTGATTCATGCCAATGTTAGCAACGTCTTACCAATGTCGAAAGGTTGAGAGTAACCACCTCCAGGCCCGGCGGCTGAGAACAGAGGAGGCTGAACTATTGCAGTGGTCGGCTGATCCAGTTGAGACTGTCTCGGTACCCCAGTTCCGTCTTTGAACATTGAGGATGGTGTCGGGGGTGCTTGCGAACGTCTTGACTTCAGCTGGACGGCCGGTTCGCAGAAAACACCAGGATACTCTTCTTGCAGTCGTTTTTGGAGGGAGTTTGGAACCTTGACGTTGTTCTCTTCAAGGTGCTCCAGTAAGGTCTCAATGATATTCTCCAAGCTGCCAATCTTCTTCTTCTGTTTCTCTTCCAGTTGGGCATTTCTCTCGTTCGCAGCCTCTAACTCGGTTTCCAAAGATATTCGCTTTTTGTCCCTCTCCTCTATATCCCGCATCAGAGCATCGCATATGTCCGCATCTCTAGCTCTGGACTGCTGCTTGCATGGTCGCCGAGTCGTGTTGTGCGCATATCCAACACCGGTGTAGAAGTCGGGGTCGGGCGGGTTCTCTCCTGGGTTGATGAGACTCCAGATGAAAGACCACCTGGTTTCGTTAGGGAGTGATTGCCATGTCGGACAATTTTCAGTTCGATGATGATGCGCTATTCCGTCGTTGGGAATTCCGGAACAAGTGGTGCCGATACATCGGGGCTCACAGGTTTCGGATTTATGTCGCTTCCTTACATTCTCGGGTTTCCTTTCATCCTTGGGAACTTGAACCTGTGTAAAGCAATCTTTACATATGAAGATGCGATGCCTCTCTTCAAGAGATTTTAGAAGCTCCAATATTGTCGCATTAGTACCCTGGCACTTTTGCGGTCGTTGCATGGGATAAGGCATCTGTTTGCGACCCTGAAGAGATGCTATTGCCTCTGGACCGGATGGGTCCTTGTTTTGCCGGGACTCCTTTCGCGAAGGTGCATCCTCATCGCCGTCTTGAGGCGAACCATCTGTTGTCGGAAGAGAATGCTTGAGATTTCTCTCGAAACAAGAACTGCTGGTAGTTGTCCCACTTTTGGGAGAGATGTCGGTCCCAGATCCATCCGTAAGAGGTGTCGATGAGTATCTGCTCTGAATGGGACTTCCGTTGACTGAAGAATGCTCATCGGAACTAGACTCACAATCCTGGCGAGAAAGAGTGTGAAAGAACTCCATTACTAGAGCATTCGACTCTTTTGAACTCTCTCCTGGCGCAAAGTGCCGAGGCATAGTCTCAAGACTGTACGGACTAGATTGGGGGCTGTAAACTATCGGTGATGGAGATAGAGCGACAGATATATCCGTTATTGATATAATCCACCCTATCGTGTCCTTTTTCTCTGATAGGTGTTTTAAGCTATTAACAGTCCGTGCCAAGAAAGAGTTTTTACAGGAGAGAGTTATGTCCGCTGATGTACTCCGGTTCATAATATCTAGGTTCCGGGTAGGCCGCAAACATACGCTCGATAATTTGCCAGATTCGACCCTCAACTACATATTGTATTAAATATGTCAAATGTTATTTCAAATCCAAGAAATTGGATTCATTTATTCAATATCATATTCTGACATATTTGATTTGTATATTGGTAATTTGTTTGATAGCATTTGACTAGCGGGCAGCGCTGGTTAAAATTCCCAATCGGACCTCGTCAGCAATGCTAGCGAAACCGATATTGTAAGGTCTTCCACCGAAATTCAAAATTTCACATAGCCGGTCCCAGGAACAAAGGTAGCAAGCCAGGGGATATATTTCTCCTGCTGAGCCAGCTGCACAAAAAACTGCCCATGTGCATCACCGTCGAGTCCCATCCCGCCCATGTTTCCGTCAGCTTGGCGCTGATCAGCATAGAAGAACCTGACATAAAAAAATTAGTTTTCATCTACAAGTGTGTTTACATCTTCAGATTTACTTACCGAGCTCCCTTACCCTGGTACAAATTGTCGGCGAGACTGATCCAGTATGAAGATGCTGACTTGCCCATGCCCAGAGTGGCAGTAGCTGGCACAGATAGGGGTTGGATGTTCATCTTGTTCCCGGTGTAGATGAAGGTCTTCTTTGACCCTTCAGCTAGAGTTTTCCATCCGTCGACGGCTTGTTGTGCGGCGACGTAAGGACCGAGGGTATTGATGTTGATGTCTTGAATAAGGCTTTTTTGTGCAAGAGAAAACATATCGTCATCTACCGGAGGGACCGTCCGTGCTCCGGCATTCCAGATAACAACACTGGGAAAAGCCTTCCATTCATTATAAACTCTTTGAAAAATTCCTGGAACGGTGTTGAGATCGGCAAGGTCTGCTTTGAGAGACAGATAGCCTTCACTTGTTGTGCTGTCGGAACCCGACTTAGACACAAGAGCTACCTTATAGCCGATTTTGGAGAATTCTCTAGCAACTCCAGCTCCGACTCTGGGGCCGGCTCCAAGGATAAGTGCAACAAGAGTAGATGCCATGTTGAAGTGTTCAGATTATGTGATTTGTGAAGATGGGAAAGATTTGAGATAGCAACAAGCAGATAAAGGATAAGTGATGGACTTTTATACATGAGGAAGGATATCTCAGCACGCCCACAATGAAGTGTTTCTTTGATCATTGGTAATCAATATGAATATGACTGCTCAGGGAGATGTGCATATGTCGTAAGCCGCGCGGGAAAGCAACACCCCCACTACCCACTGACTATCTGATAGTCAGAGCTGCGGCTGTACGTCTCTGAATGATTAGCCTCGACTGCAAAGAACATGGGTTTGCTAAATGTTGGAAGTGAGATATCTAGTTTCGGTTGCTAGAGCTATTAGCTCTATTCCCATTATAGCCGCCTGTAGGAAGCCTCTAGTTCTGAAATATAGATTCCCTTAAAATGGTACACTAGATGTCTCCTTCGTTATTTATCAACGCGACTTGCTTTCCTTCCGATTTGCTGCACACTCCTGTCTTCCAGATGATCTACAAGGCTATGCGTGATGTGGAAGTGGTGTACATTGAGGCGATTAGCACACTGTCCCGTTAAGATGCCATAGAAAGGCTGAGGCAACAATTGCCTCAGTATCATCTCGTGAGGTATAACTATGGTGAGCTTGGCGCGGTTGTCGCTGTTTCAGCTATCTTTTTGACACAAAGGGCAACCAAACTCTCTATCATATACATTTTGATGTGGTTGTTGTGGAAGAAGAGTAAAAGTAAGGCAATGATGTATCCAACGTAATGGACTTTGTGGAATAACGAATACCATCTTAATCGAAAAGGCCTGGAGGATGTAACACCGATAATTGCGAAAGTGATCGAGCTGAGAATAGCCGCCACGATCTGTGGTTGCTGAGCCATGCTTCCAAATACTTGGTTTTGTACCAAAACAGTCGTGTAGCCCAAACTGTGAAGACCAAAAAAACCGGTGATGATTCTTCCACCTATTTTGTGAATAGTCATATTCCATCTGTTCGAAGTTTGTATCAGAAACCCTAGCGGCGGAACAATCTTCTTTGTCGACAAAAGAATATGAATTGGCAGCTGAGAGGCTGCGACTAGACCGAACCTTTTGATAAGGTGGATGGCATCTGTGATAGTGCGTTAGCAGTGCCTTGGTAGACCTGAAATGTTGCAAAAGACTGGCTCAGCGTACCTGGGTGAGTCTGAGTGAAACAAAGAAATAACAGCCACATGAACCAGAGCATGCCTACAAGAAATTCCCCTTCGGTCCAGCCTGGTACGAACCTCAAGCAAACAGACCTTCTGCCATCCTGTTTCTTCGATCGGGCATCATGCCAGAAATTTGTTTGTTTTGCTAAGCTTCGGAATATCAATCTGCAGAACGGGACACAGAAAAAAAGTATTATTTGAGAGGCTTGCGCAATGCTTGCATATTTATCTGTTGAGAATCGGCGGATCTCAACCACTTCAGGCGTTTTAGGTAGAAAGCGGAAGCCCAGCATGTTCATGGTATACTGATGTCTTGTTGCGGTCAAGATTGTGTGCGTTTCGATTACCAACGGAAGGGTTTGGACTGGTTAATATACTCTTTTGGCTCGAATAACTAGTGCTAACCCTGAAGACCTTTCTTCACCTCTATTTATGAGAAGAAACCTAATACCTAATTCAACATGCTTACACTAAGCCTTATCTGGATACGCGCTTACACTACTGAGACCAGGTTGTCGCGAGTTTGATACAACGCTAGACTATCCCGCGCGGGAATGTCAGCTTACTAATTGTATAAGCACAATTTCCCGAGTATTTTAGAGTGCTATTTCCCGCGCGGAAAAAGAATGGATATTCCCAGTTCTCATTCTAGTCCTCCGCCACCGTCATAATTCCCCTCAAAATTAATACGATTTCAGGGAGTTTTCGTCAAACATGAGAACCTCAAGCGGCTGTTGGACTTGCCGTATTCGGCGTAAAAAATGCGACGAATTGCGCCCTGTGTGTAAAGTTTGCGCGGCACTTAACATCACTTGTCATTTCGACCCAATAAAACCCCCATGGATGGACGGTGGCGCGAAACAAGATGAGATGACGAATAACATCAAGCTAGAGATCAAAACTCGGTCTAGGCGCAGTAACCCACGACAAATCAACCGCGCGGAATACAAGACCACGTCGACCAGTGATGTAAGCGACTTCAGGTCTCTGGATACCACCAGTGGTCTCGGAGATAATATTGTCGCGCCCTCATATCCCGCAGACTCGGCCATATCTACTGTAGAATGGTTCCCATCCCCTGAGAGTGGGTCAGTTGGAAGTCTTTCATCCACCCAGGTCGAGTCTCAGGCTGCCCATACACCTTACTTGGATCCGATCCTCACTACATTCTACCTCGATCATGTGTTCTGTTTTCTCTATCCTTTTTACCAACCTTCAAGTCGTCGAGGCGGTAGATCGTGGATCCTTGAGCTATTGATGACTAGCTCCGCTTTCCAACAGATCGTTCTGAGTTACAGCACTTACTACTATGATCTTACCACGCCTCCTGGATCACCTCAGAATGGAAGAACGCAAGTAGATAGGCTGCTTCAGGCTGAGAGCTCCTTCAAAAGTTTGATTCAGTCTTTACAGATGCTTCTTAGTGTAGGCAGTCTAGACGGCCACACTCATTGCGCCTGTCGGGTTTTAACCAGCATCGTACAACACCATCGGTATGAGATCACTACGGCCAATTCCAATTGGAAAATTCATTTCAACGCTGCTTTAACTCTTTTCACACGACTGCTAGACAAATACTCAAACACAGTCGACAGTCTTCACCATTCCTCTGCTAGGGCCGGCTTCAATGCTATTGTCCAAGACTTGAATGCCCCTAGGCAGGAGGCATTTGTTTTCTCCGTGGGAATCATGGTATTTGATGACATTATTGCAGCTGCTTCCTCGTATCAAGAACCCCAGCTTTTTCAGTATCATCAACAGTTGCTTGGAGGGGATGAACCCGCGCTTGAGTTGGAGGTCATCATTGGGGTGAAGAGCTGCATTCTTAGACTTCTTGGTCAAGTTGCCTCGCTGAATACAAAAAAGCAGCAGGACCAGGCAGCAGGAAACTTGGATGGGTTGGAACTAGCCCGACGCGCTTCCACAATTATGGAATCCTTGACCGCCAATCTCAAGCAACTTCAGGCATCATCTTCACTCACCTCGAACCCTCAGTCAGGGGAACGAGACTGTTTAGAAGAGCTTCGCACACCCTACTATTCCCGTGGCACAGCCCATGACACTGGACTGGTTTCGCAAGTCTGGGCTCATGCAACTATGGTCTATTTGATCACAGTTGTATCCGGATGGCAGCCAGCCAACGCCATACTGAGACATCACGTTGACCAAATAGTTCAGGTATTGAAGGGACAGATCCCTATTCCATTGATACGCACAATGGTTTGGCCCTTGTGTGTCGCGGGCTGTCTTGTTGATCCACCACAGAGGCGTTTGCTTCTTGGCGTTCTAGGCACACTCCAGCCCATTACATTATTTCCCAATGTTCATAAGGCAGTCAGGATTATGGAGCGGACGTGGCAGAAAGGTGGTAGTGCCCAGAGTGGCAATCAGCTTGTAACTAATTATATAGATCTTGCGTCTTGTTTTCAGACCCAGAGCGAGTTACTGTTACTTATATAATAAATGTATATACTGAAATTAATCTATTATACAATATAAATTCCCAAGCTCTAGTTTTACTTAAAATACTAAAATACTAAAAGGCTATGAAGTGCTTATATATCTTTTATTACGACTCTAGCGGTTATAGAGTCAACAAGGGTCACTTGATTGGACCCTTGTTGGTCTCCTTGTGTTTCTCTTTTGTCACAGCGGCTGTTGCGACCGTGTTGACGCACAGTCTATCTACTGGAGTGGGAATCGGTGGCATTATCGAAGCTATGGTTGTTTTAGTATGGTCTTTTATTATGTGGTATCTCAAGTAGATAATCTCATTGCATATTTATATCTAGTTCTGCTTTTTATTAGAGACTAAATAAACTTATCCGTTTTCAAGCACTCCAACGACGTCTAACAGCCTTAATTATAAGTTTTGCTATATAGGGAAGGGTAGGTCGGTAGGTCAGCAGGTCGGCGGAGGTCAGCCAATCACCGGCGCTTAGTCAATAAGTGCTGCCTAAAGGATTACTTTCCTTTATTCTACTATATATATCTTACCTTTCTCGTATGCCTTTCTGGTAGTTCAAACCCCGGTTCTACTACCAGAAGCGTCTTGAGAAGTTGATCCGAGCACCCTTCGCACCCTTGGACGTGGATATGGCGACCAACGCGCAGCTTGTGCCCTCGGCAAAACTAATGGTCGCGCCGGCAACACCGAAGCCGACCCTCAATCAGTTGATGCACGTTGTTCATCAGAGCCTGGCGCGGCATACGCAAGCGTGCACAGCGTCATCCTGGCAGGCTACGGTTAGTACAACCGACCGCCTGACATGGATTATGAATCTGTATGTCTTAACTCCATCTTTTTGTTCCATTACCCAATGAATGATGCTATAATACAATCTTACTAACTACTACAGCATCAAAAGTGCTTTACTTGCTATGGATGAAGAGGACCCTTTGAAAGTTGCAGAGCAGAGTTGTAACTTTGAACACGAAACTTTCCATACATCAGTTTCAAAGGTGCAGATCACTGTCTCTTCTTCTGATAATTCTCGTGCTGATTCTAGATCTAGGAAGTCTATGACCACGAGATGGGCCAGAGAATAGTACGATTTTTCAAGCGACAAGACGAGAAAAAGCCAACACTCAAATCAATCAGTGACAGATACGACCAATCAGTTCTGTCCATACTACCGTGTCCGAAAAGGCCAGAGCATTTGAAGGAGCTTTTTCCACCGCGTCGCCGGCGAGTCTGGCACTGCGAAGAACCTGAATGCGAGCTTTCAACCACCAAATTCAAGACTAAGAAATCTCTACAACAACATATCAACGAGGAGCATGCAAAAGCAAGAGAAGATCCTCTCGAATCTGCTCAGAAGAACCTTGGTTTGGCCGTCGGGCCTGAGCTCGATGGCAGGGAGTCAGATACCGGACTTGCTGAAAATCTCGTGATGCCTTCTTCAAATGCTTCAATAAGCCCCTCAGTTCCATGTATCACTGCACAAGACCGCCCACAAGGCGACAAAGCGCATCACTCTAGTCTCGCTGTAAATCCTGGAAAGCGGAACCAGCCGCAACAGATTACGACTCGGGGCGTCCGCGATGGCAGAATCCTTCGTCCGTCAGCGACAAACAAAGCATCTCGGCGAGACAGACAGGCCAACCTATCCTCAAAAAGATCGGGGAAATAAATAATTGCTGAAGAGATTTCATATTTGTAGTGCCCTTCTGTCTTGAAAAGTCTTCAAGCCAATCGTAGTTTAAAGTCGAAAGAGATAGAGCCTACAACAACATCCATTGTGTTCCTTCTTTTAAGGTGGTGCCACTTTTCCAAAGCTTGCCTTGTCTCCAAAGTCCCAATGTTGAGCTGTTCCAATACCTCGACCACTACGGCGTATACGATATCAAGGTTTCCGTCGTCAACCTTGACAGAGATTCCCAACGACCCACGTGCCCCTACACTTCGAGTCTGCTCAGATTCACGTATCCCAACTCCGTAGCATCCATCGGCACCTACTTTACCAATCAATTGCCCCTTGTATGCCTGCATTAAGTCTGTGCAGAAACGCCCTTTTCCTGCGACAAATTCTGGATAGCTAGACATCGCACTGAAAATCCGGGCAAGGTTTCTCGTACGCGGGGAAGGCGAATCCTCTTGCTCGGCAGAATCTGCACCAGCGGCAAAGACAGCGTAGGTATGTGCCAGGTAGAAGAGGGGGAATGCAGGAGCCGGAAGATTACAGCCGTCGGTGGCCCATTGAACAAGACTAGGCTCTGGGCAAAGCTCCTCGACGACCTTTTTGACCTGGACTTGCATCGGATGGTCTGGACTGTGGTAATGTGTTATACTGGCACCCAGAGCGAGAGCGCCAGCCATCATCCCAGCGTGCTTGCCAGAGCAGTTGTTGTAGACTCCTCCCGTGACGTCCAACCCCTTCTGAGCCCAGTCTCGATTGACAGCAGGGTTCAGGGAAGCATGTCCACCGCAGCGGTAGTCACTTTCTTGAGCTTTAGTCTTGACCAACATGCTTCTAGCACGTTCGACGTGAATTGCTTCGGCATTGTGCGATGCACACATGAGGGCTAGGTCGATGTCATCAAAACCTGCGTCTTGGAAACCGCCGGTCTCAATGACGGCGAGAGCTTGTGCAGGTTTGGCTGCTGACCGGGCTAGAGTGACCCTTGCGGGGTTACCAACAGCGTAAAGAATGTTGCCGTCAGAATCCGTGACTGCGACATGGACGCGGTGGATATTCTCAACGATGCCGTTTCTATCGGTGATAACGGAGTTGTTCTCAATGGGCTGTGTCTGTGTCATTCTGCCAGACGGTGGTTTTGTGACCATGTACTGCAGTGGATGAATAAATTGGTGAGAAAAGTGAGTAAAGGAAGGTGCTTGATCTTGTATTGGAAATAAATGAGAAGTATTTGACGACTTATATATCTTATAAGTGGTTTTGCAGCGTTTGTCGCGATCCCTGTCTTTTTCCATGCCCATTGTCCGGAGGATCACGGACAGCCAACTCCCAAGAGTAACTTGAATCTTAACTGTTATGTGTCTATCCTCAGTGTCCCCGCGTTAGGCTATAAGTAGTCACCACTGGTCCGTCGCCATCCTGAAACCATGGGATTGGTCCGTTAGTCCCCTAGTCATTCTCCGTACCCACAGCTACGGCTGACTCATCGTCAATGCTCTTGTCTTCCATATTCCGTACCCACTCAATCCGACCACTTCCCCAGTAACTATCAACATGCACCCTATACCTACGGATACATACAGCAAACATGACATCCACTCAGGAGCCATTGACGCGACACGCCTGCGAGCCATGCAGACGCAAAAAGATGAAATGTGATGGCGAGAGACCTACATGTTCGTATTGCCTACGTCTGACGCTCCCGTGTTCTTACTTGCCAAGGGCAAAGACCAAGTCACTGTGAGTTGAAAGCATGCCACGGTGATCGCTATGAGTTGACCTATGAGCAGTACCAAGTCTAAGAGATCAAAAGCACATAAGCGAACGGCACAGGAGCACGCTCAAACCACGAGATCCAACGAGCATACTGCTACGCATGAATGTACCCCCGATTACCAATCTATATTACCTGCTTCCCTACCACCGCCGCAAGACACCCCTCAACATGAGCCTGAAACCCGAAAGTTCTCACTGGAAAGGTTGGTATCTTTTCGCTTTCCAGCACTAGCCGCTTGTCAATTACGGGAGGTACAATGCACCTAGCTAACACCACGTGCCTCAGGCCCCAGCCAACCCAGGAGGCCCTTGAACACTTCGTCAAAGTCTACGAAACCAACATACACCTTCAACCTCTACCGCTATTCAGCCTAGACAGGCTTGAGGAACGACTACTTGAGGGCCCTCATTTCCTACTCTGGAGCTTTATGGCTCTCACTCTGATGTTATCTACCCATCCCTTCTACGATGGTCAACGAACAGTTGCAAGAGACTTCTACACTCGAAAAGCAGAGGAAGTCTTAAGTATTTTGGCTTCTGAAGGGGATATATCACCAGAAGTCACACAGTCCCTTTGCCTTATCGCTTTGAAGCATCTGAACAGTAAGTAACGTGTCTTCAACTCAAGTTCAAGAGCTCATCAGGATTCTAGGTCAACAAGTCACACGAGCCTGGATGATTGTTGGTACTGCTGCGCGACTAGAGACTTTACGAGTCCTTTCATTTGACAACACCCCTTCTTCAACAGATGACTCGGTGTCTCGAGCTCACTGGAGTGTTTTCATGCTAGAACGACTTTTTGTTCCTACGATGCCAGATGCTTTTGGGCCTGGAGTTCCCGATTTTCCCATTAGCCCTCCAAAGCCCCTTGCACCTCAATCGACACTCTCACCTGCCATACCAGAGCGCGTACAAGCACAACCCAGAACTATACTGAGCAGTGACCCCGGTATCATTGGTGTTCACTTGCGTCTTGTGTCGATTTGGGGAAAGCTTCGGTCTTACCTACATGGTCTACGGCGCGGTGTCACCGAAAAGCCTTGGTCACCAGACTCAGCGCAGACAAAACTTAATATCGAGCTGATAGAGCACGAGGCGCTGATTGATTCAAGCTATTTTCTCTCCAAGGCTCTTCTGCCAAGCCGGACTACAGCAGAAATATCTTCACATCGCGAATACTGGGATCCGTTCATGGCTAGCCAAATAATCTGGCATGCCATCCACGCCGTGTTAAACCACCCATTTGTCCACTTGTTCTTGCTCAGATCCTCTAGGGATATTCCGCCATCGTGCCTCTTCCTTCAACAAAGGATCGATATGGCGTTATTTCACACTGGATCCTTATTTCGGATTCTTCAATCGTTTATGGATCTAATGGATATAGTTGATCCGATGGTGGCAGACTTTGTAGCTGCAGCTGCGACAGTGTCGTGGTTCTTTCAGTTCTCAGCGGATCCCAGGTTCTCGCGACGGGCTCGTGAAGAATTAGATAAATGCGACGCGTTTCTCAGCCATGCTGCAGTAACTTGGCCTCACGTCAACCAAAAGGTACGCTGCTAATCACACCAAAAGACTTGAAATTTGGATCTCACATGAGTGCTCACATATGGGTTTAGCTTGAGACGTTGAGGAAGCTGGAGGCACTGGCCAACGAAAACCGCCGACGGCACTCAGACGAAGGCACAAACATCAGATTCCAATCCGCATGGGTTTGGGATCTGTTGAATCCTAAGATTCAGTCCACTCAGATTGGCTCCTCACACTCCGGATCAGGAACTAGTGGTGCCCCCGAGACAAATCCAGATTCTGAGATGTATCTCAAAAGCCATTTTGTCATGCCTTTGCACGACGACCAGGACTCTGGTCAGGTAAGAGAGCCAGTGGCATCCGGTCAAGATGGTATGGATTCTTTGTTTACTATGCCTGGAGATCTGGATTTGTTCAATATCGAGTTGCTATCACACGAATTTTTCGAGAATGGACTGTGGGATCAAGGCTACTGAGAGGAAATAATCCATTTACGATCTGGGCCTACCGCCCGAGTTCACTGCCAGCGCGTTGATGTTTTATTAGATGTATCTTGATACCTAAGACCCCTATCCTCAATAATAAAAATCTTTTGTAACTTAAGTATATTTTATTGGATCTTTAGACTGGTCTTCAGCCACTCTGTAGCCATCATCACGTATTAGGGCGTGGTGAAGAAGCCAGAACATACTTCTATCAGCGGCTTAACACGATGATCAGTCTGATGATTCGCAACTAACAACAATTCCATGGCTTATGCTGGTTTTAGGGCTATAGAAATAGTTGCCCTGAATTTTGTTACTATTGTTCTCTGAATAAACGATATAAGCGCCTGAAATAGCCTGAGTAGTGCAGCTTATAAAAGTTCTTTTGTCGAATACAACACTGCATTTGTCTTCGTACTCTATGGCCCAAGAGTATAAATAGCAGGAGGAATATGGTCTATTGTCTACCCTACTCCTGTGAATTATCCAACCAACTCTACATCATAAGCTGAAGGTTGACGTCTTCCAGATGTCTCAACTATCGTGAAGCCCTTGGCCATTTTACCTCCCACTAAAAGCTTCTTGATCTCGCTTGGGTGGATCCAGTTCATTATCAGCATGACAGCTAACATAGGGACCGCGTCAAAGATGTAAATAAATATCTCATGGCTAATAATGTAGCCATCAAAGCCTTGGATGAACTCAATGACTCGCACCAACGATCGTATAAAAATGAGAATGCTTGTGATATACAGTGCCATGAGGTGACGCAGATATGGTGGCTTATCGGCGATGACTTTCTGGGTCGGATTGCGGCAAAGACGTAAGTGGAACATGGCGGCAGTGATGACGAAACAGCCAAAGAAGACGATTTGCACAAACAGCCCGACTACAATAAGCTTTTCACCAAGTTTTCGGGAATTGGTATCGTCAGAGCCCATCATACCGCCTCCAGCACCCTGCATGAAGAATGAAAGGACGTCGCCTATCACAAATATGCGAGTCAACCAGCGTCTTCGTACATATAGATAGTGGTCGCCATCCACAAGATCCACGATACGCCCAAGCTCCATATAGATCGAGGCGGCGAAAAGTGCGGGTGCGACGAGAAGAAAGATGCTTTGCACGACGTAGGCTCCCAAGGTCTCGGGTACTGTTCTGCCTATGTAGCCAATGACTTCAACTGTGGGACATTGAGTTAGTTCTTGTCAACCATTGAGCCACTTTACTCCTAACTCACAGATGCCACCTAAGGAGAAGGCGAGAAAGAACCAAGTGCGTGTCTGGATCATCTGGAAGAAATGGAGAATCGTGGTTGCGGTGAAAAGGATGATGAAAATGATAGCAGCTGCTAGAGAAGGGTCATAATGGTAGTATGACATCGTGACAGTTCTTGATAAAGCGTGATGTAGGAATACTAGGAGGAATAAGCCCATAAAACACTCGAGATCGTAGAGATGGTGCAGATAAAGATGCAAGTCAAGATGGGGGACTTATGATTATATCATGTTTTTCAACTGGTGGTTTGGAACTACCTTAGAATACGAGGAACCAACTGAACAAGGAGTCTGCTCTAATCTCTGGACACAGATTCCAGGCATGTACGTAAATGGGGTTCGTATTTTATACCCGATTAGGTTTAGATCACGAAGCTGTTAAAATTCCGTCAGGGGCGGGGCTTATCCGATTGAGGCTGAGCTTCGCATCCCATAGAAACCCCGATACTCCGAATCGGCAAGGGAATATGATTATTATTATACTTAGCTTCTCAAAAGATTGGACGCATTTGCTGGTACTTTTCTTCCTTGGTGTAGCATTCTTGTTCTTAGTTCCATTTAAAGTGGGAAGCCCAAGCCACTGAATTATCAGGACAGGGGCGTTCTGCTTCGTATAGACCTCGCAAACCTCGGATTCATTATCATCAATCACCAAGTTCAAACACCGCTCAATTCGCCCCTGACCATGCCATTGAGACTTGGACACACAAAGTCACGTCACGGCTGCGCTCGCTGTAAGCAGCGTCGCGTCAAGGTATGCATATTCCGACTCCTCCGAAACATGTGCTGATTGGGCTGACCGGTCAGTGTGATGAGCTCGCCCCTTGCCAGAATTGTAAGCGAAGAAGAGAGGAGTGTAGCCTTGTTCTTGACCAATACTCTAGATCGTCATCTGCACGACAGGTAAGATATAGAGCTGAGCTCCTGATTTATAGCATTACCATCATTTGCTCATATAAGCTATGTTTGTTATCACAGCATCCTACATCGATTTCGGACCGACCAGCCCTCTTCTCTCTGTTCGTCACAGAGACAAGTTTATCAATTCAACCCCACGAGACAACATGTGGCGAGGACCTCTTTTTGATGGCCCATTTTATTTCATCTACGGCTCGCTCTATATCTCCCCGGAATGACATCTTTCAGTTGTGGCAGACCGTTGTCCCAGAGGATACCATCACCTGCTCATTTCTACGCCATGGCATGCTTGCTCTCTCAGCTATGCATTTAGCTAGCCTACGACCTCTGAAGCAAGAATACTACAAGCAGTACTACCAGCAACACCTGAATAAAGCTATCCCTGATTATCGACGGGCGATCCAGAACCTGAAACTCGAAGAAAGCGGCCAGGTTTTTGCAATGGCCACTTTAGTCATTATTTTCGCGCTAGCCACGGTTTCAGATAATGCACTCGGCAATGGAGATACTTTAGAAGGGACTGGATCATCAGTTGCTGATATTGTATCTATATTTACCACCGTTAAAGGTGTGACAACCTTGATGGCGGACGATACACCTATTCGTCGGGGTGTTATCAACAGCCCATACGCGGTCTGCACGGCGGGCTATGAGATCCCAGAAGCTCAAACCGCTGAAATGCCTATCACTGTGCAACTCAGATACCAAAATTTGAGGACTAGTTGCCTGAATACCTTATTACCGGGCAAGGAGTCAGAAATGGAGGCCTGTAGGAATGCTCTTGATCTTCTCTACAAAACACACCAAGAGCTTTTCTTCACGATGTCAAGCCAAGACTACGATCTGAATGTCGATATTGATCCATCTTACTTGGTGAAATGGATCGCAAGAGTCAGCGCCGAGTTTATCACGATGCTGCGGCAGAATAATACGGCAGCCCTGATAATAGTGGGAGAATTCTTTGCGCTCATGGCGTTATTAGACGGTACCTGGTTTGCAAGGAATATCTCAGTAAATGCACTGAATGCGATCAAAAGGATTATCAAACCACAAGGGCTCTGTTGGCTAAGGACTGTGTATCCGGAAGATAGAGAAACAATCTCAGGATGTGGAAAGGTGCGATAAACCATAGTTCAGATATCGAATAAGTAGTCTAAGGGTGATATGCTTTGTATACTTGGATCGAAGCAAGAATACACTGTATTAGTCCAAACACAGCTGTCAGTCCCAACACAACTATCGCAACCCAAAAGTTGTGCCATTGCACTCCATTCCGTCGGTCATACCACCACTGAGAAAATGAATCTGGTGTCGAATGATCAAATTCTTCCTTTAGAACCAGTAGACGATCTCTCCAGAAACAAAAGTTGGAGAGATATCTGCTCTCTCCGCTAGGAGTCCCGCACCAAGCTAGCTGGGGATCTATCACGCGGCTTGAGTGCGTGCAGAGCCTTTCCAACCAGACTTGCTTCTTTCGGTTGGATCTGAATGCTGCCCAGTGGTCAGATTGCGGAAATAGTATTGCTAGAGTTCTGAGGGTTTCTTCCGCTAGCCCTTGGGGAAGAGTAGCTTGTGTGTTTATGCTTTTGAAAGTTAGATGAAGTGCCCGTGGATACTGACATGATACTGACCTATGTCTTTGGGCCTCAAGGAAAGCAACGTGATGAAAGACATATACTTGTGAGTTGTTGTTGGTTAAGCGTAAATGATCCGCCAGGTTATCGGTGAACTCAATCTTGATACCAGCAACGTTCTCGAGACTCCAGGCAGAGAATTCGGGGGTCATTGTCATACCACCACAGGATTGATGGCGTGAGATCGGGAAGACCTTGTCAGTTAGAGTATCTAAAGAATTCTCATCCCATAGTGGTAGCGGTCGGGGGCCGGTTTGATGCATGAAGCCAGAAGCTTTCTCTAGACTTCCCACTTCGATCATCAGCATAAGCCGAGTGACAAGATTCAAGGTGTCTTGACAAGCGTCATCGTCGCTGTTCCCAGATAACGTGCATATAGAGGAAATAGCTTGGTCCCGCTGTCTATGTCCTCGAATCTGGTCTACCACCTTTCCGAGCGATAAGGTGTCATGTGGGTAGATTGCCGACGAACTCAATTCACTAAACAACTTCTGCTGTCTTTCGACGTATGCATCATATGCCTGTAGGTCGATTTTTAACACTATGTCACCATTCAACAACTGAACGGAATTGGGCAACGTGCCAAGAAGTGTCGATGCTAAGGACATGGCAGATATAGTGATTGATAGAAAAGAATAGTCCTTGGTCATTTATCTGGCGAGCACAATTAACAGTGCCCTGCGTCAGATCATTGTTTTTAAATTCAAGGCCGCTATTGAAATTACACAGCCGATTCGGTTTGCCTCACCGCACATCGCGCATATGTCACTTTGTAATTGGCCCCCAATGGCTGTACAAATCACAATGTGGCGTCCTCACCACTTCACCATTGGATGAGATATTGTGCTTTCATGCACCCCAATGATGCCCGACAGCCTTAGGTGTCAATTTTCACTGTAACCGGGCGCAATCCTGTCAGCAGAGGCCTGCCAATGACTAAGATTTCTGTTGTCAATTTCCGAGTGTTCTGCCATCTCCACCTTACAATCCTCGAAACCCCTCTGTTGTATCAACACGAAATTCAATTCACTCATATGCCTTTTGGATTTCCTACCATTGTTTGGCTCTTGATGTCATCCTAGTTCTCGTCTAGGACGATCTGCTTCCACATGTTAAGTTATGGACTATTCCAGTATTCTTTCTAAGCCCAAGTCATTCTTTGGTAAACAGAAAGTCTGGATGGCTCGCGGCGAAGACCTTGCTCTTTTCAATACGCATCGGCCCAATATCCAGAACCTTCTTAGACATTCCTGTATCCCAGAGTCTAGCCATAACCTCTGGATCGGTCTTTATCGAGTTGGGGTCACGGAGGACGAAGCAAAGACATTCGTCGTTGTTTCATGCACCGATCGCAGAATCCGAAAGCTTACGCGCGATATCCTCAGCAGCTGCCCTATTTTTCAGCCAGGTCAAGCCCTCGACCGATTCAAAGTCATCAGCAAAGCAACACTTCCAGAGACAGCTTGCGAGCCTCAGCAGACCATGCAAGATGACCGGGAGCTGGAATATGAACAGGGACTACGAAAGGGAGACAAGGCAAAGAGCATTGCCAAAGACGAATACAAAACTATTCGCATATCCCCGTCCATCACGGGCGATAGTTATCTGTGTCGTCAAATACAAGCACGCCATGTGTCTGGAAAAGGAGAAGTGCGGTTTCAAACAGCCACGGCCGGGCCACTGATCAGCCTCGATGGCCGCACCTATCAGCTCACTGTGGCGCACGTTGTCAACTTTGAGGAGAAAGATATTTATAATGTCACTGAACGTACAACGGATGACTGGGACGACTGGGATGACGAAAGCGGTGATGATACTGACGGTAGTTGTTCCGTAGACGAAGATATTGCAACTTGGGACATCTCAACGGACGACGACAGTACACCAATGTCAGACGTCTCCGACGATGAAGCTCCCGGATCTTCATCAAGTAATTCAGCCTCAGAGGTTGCTACTCAACAAAACGAAAGTGGAACAGCCATTACAGGAGCAACTTCCCCCGACGAAGAAGCCATAGACACATCAGTTGATTCCTCTGCTTCACCACATATCCATAATTCAGAACGTCCAGTCCTTGAAGAATTTCTCATTGATCATGCCTCCCCATATTTGGGCTTTGCACCCGGATCAGAGAATTGCCAAATATCGAGAGAAATGGACTTTCTTCTCATTCCCACAAACGTAGATCTTCCGGCAGGGGTCTCTGAGTCCAAGATTGCAGAGCTAGTACAGATATCTGAAGCCTTCGACTTACAAGGCATAACAGAGCCTCGACCGATTATCATTGCTACATCGTCACTCGGGTACATGGAAGGCGTGGTATTCCCAGCACCGTCACTGTTGCGACCTCCAGGCTCAAAAGACTTTCAAACACTATATTGCATCGAGTCTGAAAAGGCTATGCAGAAGGGAACTTCTGGCTCGGCCGTTTTTGATAAGCGGACTGGCCTGCTCGCTGGATATATCGTGCTTGGATGTCCTAAAAAGAACTTGTGGTATATGGCTCCAATCTTGGACGTCTTATATGAACTTGAAGTCCGATTTCGCCAGAAGGGGAAATGCCAGATACGGCTCGATATGGATGCAGCTATCAGGCTGAGCGACCAAGGACATTCTCTCGACACAAATTGGGCCAGCCTTTGCAAAATGCTTGAGACGAGCCCAGACATTATCCCCTCACGGAGGAACCAGGGAATCCAACCCAAAAGTGCATCGAAAGACGCCAAACCCAGTCAATGGTGGATGATTAATAAATCAATGACAAGTATCTTCAAGACCTTCCAAAGAGAAGGACCATTATCTACCTATCACAGTCCTAAGATCTCGCTCCCGCCTGATGAGTGGCGAAGTCTATTTGGCCACAATCCTAATTCACCGGAGGGCGATAGACAGCTCTTTTCAAGATTCAAAACACTTGAGAGGGGGCTCCTAGGAGCCATGGTCTTCTTGTTCTTATATCCAGAAGCCACCCTTGGGGAGCACCAGATAACGAAAAATTTACCCATCCGTGGCACTTCATCTAAGACAACCAGAGAATCCCAGGTTTTCGAATTCTGCAGTAAGGAAGATGCGCCGCAGCCTAACATACGGTTTGGGGAACTATTTACTGAAGCTAAAGAGTCTGATGGACGCAAGTTCATGGATTGGCTGAAGGAGAAGGTATAAAGCAAACTGAAACATCTTTATACCAATGTATTTGCCGGCTGACATGATGTTAAAAGAGGTCGCCTGACAGTCACGATACTACAACTTACACACCGCATTGCATGTAAGTATTTCCAAGATCAATTTCTAGTAGCATGTAGACTAACTGAGATATAGCAATATGTGGGACATTGACCCTAGCAGAGCCATGGAACGACACGAAATTGTATCATCCCCTCAAGTGAGAGAATTCCAGGAATTTCTCTCCAACCTCATCGGCAAAAAGTCAAGCCCTATGATATTCTTGACCCAAGGTGTAAGTGACTCACGGTTATCTCTTAGTCGAAGCTTAGAAACTGACATTGTAACGTCTCAACAGACTTGGTCTGGATGCATCTTTCAAATAGTATTCAGTTTGCCGTTTATGGCTATTGCAAGTCAGGATGTATTCGGCAAGACACCCATCACTGGGCAAGCTGATTCACGATTCAACGTCAGCCTTTCTTTCCTCTACCAGCAGCAACACATTTGCAAGGGTCAAAGCGGAAAAGGAGCTTCCCAGCCACTCAAAACCTGCTTATACCAGACAACATGGTCTACAATCGTGACTGGCACAAGTGAACGATACTGGACAGCGGCATGCCTGAGTGACGGCTCCGAAGAACCGCCAATTGGTAGTGAGTCCTGGAATGATGCTATAATTCTGAGTAGCGGCTCAGGGAACCACACAAGCGATATGAAGAGAACTATGTCGCCTCGAGCATATGCTCTCGGTGCACTAGCCATGCAATTGGAGAAGATTGCCGAATATCATCGCCACATCCAGCTGACTCTTGACGCCAATTTCAACCTTTTTGTAAGGCAATCCCCGGTATTTTAGTAGTTCAATGACTGACTTTATTTATCAGGAGGACAAAATGAATCTTCCATCCAACGAATTATTGCTAATACATAACCAATACTGGATAAAGCATTTCTCAGATATTCTCAAACACTTTCTGGTCACGAACTCTGGGGTCTTAGAGAGATATGAAGCCTTCCTATTCAATGAGTTACACGATCCGTCAGATGGTGCGTTGAGTCATCCTCTATGGAGAAGTTTCTACCAAGAACATGGAGCTCCTGAGTCGACACAGCGGATTCGAAAGAGTCTCGAAATACTTCGAGATATCCAGAGCCATCTCGATTACCTTGATTCTAAAGTAAAGGTAGGAAAGGTTCTATCACATGGTGATACACTTTTGCACTTGAGGCTAAATTAAGGATATAGAAACTGGCGACAAACCAAGATCAGTCACGTATATATACAGAGGATACTCTAAGATTCGCAATAACCGCATCTGTAAGTAGGTATGAAATCACAGTCAAGCTAATCTCACTAACTTAGACCTTTAGGTTATGGGACTCATGAATCTAAGCTGTCAAGTCATTCTCAGCTTGCCAGCAAATGAATTTTCATTTTATGAATTTCTCATTTCATCGTTCCTAGTTGTTGTAATACCCTTTTTTATTTCCAAGATTTCGAGGCATATAATGCCTGTATCACCATCGATTTTCCTTATACTTCTTATGTCTTCCCCTTTACCACGGCAACTCAGTAGTGTCATTACGCGGAGGCTTGTTAAGATTCCAGCTTAGTGTATTGATAAATCATAGCCAGAACTGTTTCTTAAATGTTTAAAACAGCCACTGCATTTCTATGGTAACGATCCCACGGATTAGCCTCGAATATCAAATGATGGTGTTGTCGTCAGTTATGGCTTAGGAAGTGAGGGTTTACTTATTAGGATATCAATTTCCTATTAATAGCTAACTAGACTGCTTATACTTCTCTACTGTAAGATTTGCTGCCACTGGTTGCTGGGCTCACTTGGAAAACCTTCAAGGTGTTGCGCCATAGAGTTAGTTAGCCCTTGCACTACTTCCTGGCTGATATAACCACTAATTTCAACCATGAGGTTAAGGCACACTAGAATGCTCGTATAATCCGCCTGCAATATGTGGATTCTTCTGGTGGAAGCCTGAGAGCTTAGGCTAGGTGTAAAGTCACTCGCAGTCATAGTGCTTGTTATGATGACTTGAGCAGCCCGAGCTTTCTGGAACGTAAGGGCATCAGAGAGACTCGGCAGAACAGATATCTTAAGGGAAGCATAGTCAAATGCAGGTTGTTTGGGATCGTAGAGCTTTGTCTCGCGTATAACGCCGGTGTTGTTGGGAAGCAGAATGTCGGCGATGGGCACCGACTTCCAGTCGGTAGTGTCAGGTTGCGATTGAATCAGGGCCCGTGTGAAGAAACTCTGCATATCGGATACACTGCCCCCGAGTACCATGGTCGAGTCTGGGAAGTCAGCAGCTGTTGGGAATATTATTCCAGTTCCAGCAAAGGGATCGGCAGGAAGAGCTCCGTATGACCGCTGAGCGTCGTCGGATGAGAGGCCGGTAATACCAGGAGTCCAGAAATGTCTGTCTGTCAAACCGGCGAAATGCGTGGCGGCATTATCAGGATACTGGTCGTCGCGAGTTTTCCAATACGTCGAGTTGTCTGTATAGCCAGGCGGGTACGACGTTGGGCTCACCCAAACTCCTCGAGTCTCATTGCCTAGATGTGGGCCTGCACATGCATCCAGTGCCAACATGTTGACATCCGTATACGTGGAAGGGTCCGTCTTGTCAAGATAGAAGGCGCTCGATGGATCGAACTCTGGGTTCCATGACAAAAATGCATGGTTCGCAAATGGTTGTCGGGCGGTATCCTTTTCTCCAAGCACCTTGTTTTTGGGGTTTTTGTCGAAGTAGGGATTGTTACAGTGTCCCCAGCCAACAAGCTCGCTCTTTTTGGATATGTATCCATAGGTTTGATGGAACTCCCAAGCGATGCAGTCATAGTTAACGCCAAGAGATGCTGCTAGTTCTACAGCACCAGCTTGATCATAACAGTTAACAAGGGCAAGAGCCCCAATCTGCTTGTAGTTTCTGTAAGCATCAAGCCACGCCGATAGCTGAAAGCAGCCACCGTAGTTGTTGAACAATCTCAAGACCGGAATTGGGTCAGGGCTGTCTGGGTTGGGCACCACGAAGCTGGGAGCGCCGCCAGCAGTGTTGTATTTGAGCCAATGGTCTTGTGTGTTTGCTGGCTCTCCTGTGATGGGCTTCGCAGAACCGTGACATATTTTAACGACTAATGCCATCCACTGCTGTACATTTGTAATATTTTGCTGCACTGCCGCACCCAAGAATATTTGTAGTAGTAGAAGTGGAACTCCGGAACTGAAATACGACGGAAGCTCATTTGACAAGAAATAGAGTTCCATGGGGACCTTGGCTGGCTGTTCTTGACAGAGGACTGGTGTCATACTATCCCCTGGATAATTGTACACGTAGAATTGAGTTGGACCTAGAAGGCTACCAGGGTTCCAAACACCGGGGCCATCTCTGTACACTATCATCATGTTGAATACGACGATATCGGGATCCGGGTCAGTCCCAAAGTCATAGCTTGAGTACCATGTACTGCCGCTCTTGTCTGTCGAAAGCACGATGGGACCGTGCTGGAGTTCTTGGGGTACCCTGACTCTGACAGTAAACAGGACCGTGCGATCACTTTGAATGGCGACGACGGGGCGTGGAGCTGTCTGTCCAGACTGAGCATCATAAAGAATGTCTGTGTCATAATCTTTGGTTGGCTGCTTGAAGCAGTCAAGATCATGATGATCCTTGTTGTTGGCGACAGTTAATGGAAGCCGCTGGCCTGGAGCAAGAGTGACTGTTTCGATGGTGAGCATGGTTGAGTATTGAGATAGGGTCTGTGAAATGATGAATAATGATGCGTAGCAGATGGTAAGATTCTGATAGGACTTGGTCTCAGTCTTTATAGCCAACAGCTCGTAAACATTTTGGTCTATGACTGATTCTGGGCCAGATGCGGCTTTTCGTGGTGAGCTGAGATGCCACGAGCACCCCTGTAAACTCTGTATCAAAACTCAATGTCTTAGCTATTTACAGCAGTTCAGCTACTTGAAATAAAGCCATGTTTTGGATTGATGCGGCGAGGCGCAGTGACGTTGCTGCTTATAGATTTTCAGCAGCTAAAGTCAAAGCTATTTATCAATAGCGCAAGTCGTCCGACCAATTATAGCTTGACAACTCATTTAATCTACTCACAGCATAGAGTCTAGAATAAGCCATTTGTTTATAGTGCAAGGCATCTAACCAATTGTAGATTTAAAAATTATTGTTGTTCTCGCGAAATAGAGTCTAGAATGATAAGCCAAGTCGGTAAATGCAGGATAACATTTGCTAGTTAAAACTGTAACTTCAGAAAAGACAATACTAAATTGAATACGCCGTAGATATTTTCAAGTGTCGATACCACTACAAGCCGTTAACATTTGAATTGGTAATGAGGAGTGATGTAAACTACCTATATCAGTTGGCTAGAAAGTTAGACTATTAAGCTACACTCCTTTTTATTGGCAATCTTCGGGCTACTGCTAGTTCTAGTCCCTAAGCACTTACTCCAGAATCGTCGCGTCACTTATATGCCACGGCAAGCAGACCAGTTATCCATAGAGAAGTTGGTGATCTTTCCATCTTGGATGCTTATTATCGACCGTGAGATTCTCGATTCTCGATTTGCCTCAATCAATAATTCACCCTGAACCCGGGGGAATCCATCAGTAAACTTACATTTTTATATACATTAGTAGTGGAAACTATCTACATTCCGCCGCTGTAGAGATCTCTGGAAGGGGGCCAGTCACGGTCGTCAGTTTAAGTTTTGCATTCCCAAGATACACTTTACCAGCATGAGTCATCGGGGCAATCTGAATTCTATAACATACAGTCAGTCCACCTTTTGAATCTCATCACCATTCTCCCCGATACCGCCATCATACAGTTTTAACGCTGGAAAAGACATGTCGCCAAAACAACCATGTTCAGATGAGCATTATAATGCACCATATGAAACCCGACATGGTGTCGAAGCAATTATAGACACAATCGTGGAGCTTTTACCCCACGAGATCCTGCATCACCTCCGCGGTTTCCTGGAACAAAACCATCGATTAGCTATACACACTCAGCATTACAACTCGTTCGACGTAAAGGAAATTCGAGACCTTGACAAGCATCAGGCCTTGAGATTCAGGAATAAGACAGTTCTCATTTACGTCCTCAAGGGTGGTGGTATCGGAGGACTATGGGAGCTGGTTCTACACAACTATCTCTATCGGCGATGGTTTCAACCCTATCTCTCGGATATCGATCATGGCGAATGTATTGCTATGGTAATGAAGCCCATTGATCAGCCTCGAACATCCAATGATCATGATGCCGTCAGTCATGTTCTAGACGTGCATTCCATGATCAACCGTCGGCTTGACTCGATCGAACACGAAACACCGCCATTTTATACCACTCGTCCCCTTTTCAGGGCCTTCTTCATAGCCATACCAGGTCGGAATTGGGGTGGCTGCGCTGCTCTAGAGAATATCGCGTCTTTGAAAGTCCTAATTGTCCTCACTGGAGAGACAAAAGGACTCAGCGCACCGATTTCTTTCGCCTCTATCGCAGACAAATCTAAAGCAAGGACTTTGAATGGTCTGGAAGCCGTTGAAACCAACCTCGAGACAGCCGTCGACTTTTTAATGGAACTAGAACATCGGGAAGAAGATGTTTTCGGTCTTCAACCTGATCCAGTGGCTGCATCGAGAGGCATGTGCCCCTTTACTCAGGAGCCGTTACATGAGTGGGTGCAGGACCGGGCTCGGAGACTGGGATGGAAAGGCGGAGAAATTGTTGGGCCGAGTTCGCGGTGGGTAGACATGAATATGTACATAGCTTGGACTGGTTTTGGAGCGCAGGTTGATGCGGTCATGATGAATAACCGGGTGAGGGTCATGTGGGACTGGCATCGACGGAATTGTAGGTGCGATAAGGAATGGGTGTTTGTTGATGAAGATACATCTCAGGATAAAAGCAGGGTCACTAGTGCGTAGCAGATATATGGAGAAATCTAAAGATCTAGAGAATGAAACCTCTTACTATCCTGATTATAATTTAAGTGTCCTGGCAGCTAATATCTGCGGTATCCCCTTTATCTCATATAGGCATTTATGTGTTCAGCACTCTTGATACCAGTATTAGTTGAATTTCCATGTAACATATGTCACCAACAGAGAAACTGGCGACGTGGGACCTGATAAAAGCGACAGATAGCACAAACCAGTTGAGCGTGTCAAAGGTCCACCAAACGAGGTAAAAATGCTTGACAGAGGTCTCTGGGAGAAGGCATCGGCGAGCGGCGGGCTGCGGCGCTTTTAGCAGGATTTTGCCGGTACTACGGGGGTTACTTCCCTAACTAGTTAGCTCAGATGTAAAGGGCTTCTAAATCAATTAGACAACTACGCCATAGAAGGAAGCCCAATTCAAGGAATAAATATAATCATACAAGCGTGAAAAAGAGTATACAGGACAGGATCTTTTTCTTAATCTTTGAAAGATTTACTTTATTTTGTCAAGATTCAAACTTCAGCTCTTCGCACGTCATAACCCTGATGTTTGCGTTACGTACTAAGAAAACTATATTAGCGACACTATTGTCTTTCTAGCTGGGACTTCTTATAGAGATGCAGGCTCTTGGCGATGGCGATGTGCTTGGCAATCCGATTAAGCTCATAAACACAAATAGTGAGCAGATTGCAGCTAATTTCGAACATCAGCCTGGCATTCTATTGGCCTAGACATCAAAAACTAAGACGTAATTTTTTTCTTTACTCCGGAGATCCACTAAATCCACCGCCTCCACCAAGAGAAACAAGCTTCGGCGGGATCCCCTTTCTTCTTACTCTAATTTTTATTTCTACTGCAGTCTCTGGCTCTCTCTCTTTATTTTTTACGATAAAAACCTCAGTGTCGCCGTCTAAGAAAACAGCGGGAAAAAAATGACGACCGCACGCATCGAAGTGGACCGATCGAGTGGAGACAAAGATGCAGCTTTCTGGTCCGCACAAGAGGATGGCTCTGAGACGAAGCCTTACGGTAACGCAGCCACAGCACAACAAGAAGCTGCTCGACAGAAGGATATTGAATTTCGCCAGAGGTTTGGTGATGCTGGTCCACTTGGTCTCTCTGGGTTTGCCTTCGCGACGTTTTTAACAGCCTTGGTCAATCTCAATGTTCACGGCGTGACTATTCCAAATATCGTCATTGGGCCAGCTCTGGCTTATGGAGGCCTAGCTCAATTACTTTCTGGCATGTGGTGAGTGGTCGTTTATTTAAAACTGCATGTTCGCAAGTGGATTCTCATACTTGGATTAGGGACATCGCCAATGGCAATACAGTCAGCGCCACTATTGCCTGCTCGTATGGCTGTTTCTGGATCTCTTTTGCCATTAGTATGATCCCCAGTTTCAACGTCAGGGATGCTTACCCCAGTCTTGCCGACTACAACCACGCCAACGGACTATTTCTTATGGTAGGTCGCTTCTACACTCACCTACTCCCAGAGCAATCCAAAACTCACATTCTGTAGGGATTCTTCATCTTCTCAGTGGCCATAACTCTGTGCTCCATGAAGTCGAATGTCTTTTCTCTGACGCTTTGCCTTCTTGTCAATTGCACCTGGCTATTCCTCGGGGTGGCTAACCTCTGGACTGAAGAATCCGGAGCTCCTAATAACGTGCTCATCAAGTGCGGCGGTGTGACTGGCTTGTTGGTTTCATTCACAGCGTGGTATCTTATGTATGAAGGTTTGGCAAATAGACAGAATAGGTAAGTCTACCCATGAGTACGTCTGAATTGTACTGACACGTCGGGTTAGCTTTGTTCTGCCACCGAACCCTGATCTGCCGTGGAATCCGAGCCGAAGATCCCATGGATCTCATATACATTAACAGTTGATTCCAAGATTTAGCAAATATAGTAGCAATCATTCCAGTATATCCGGCAAGGCCCTGGCCACGCCTATAATTGTGCTCCCTTGTGCAGTAAGCAGTAGTGAGAGATGGGCTGAATTTTCAACGTCACAATCATCGACTTCGGCGATTCTGCCGATATGATACTAACCTGACGTCGAAAATACAATGCCGTCCAAAGATACAAATAGCATGACCCTCTTTCAGTTAGTCCTCAGACGACGAATTTTAACAGCAAGGTTATGATAGTTCGAATGGAGTGCCAGTCTCATATAAGCAGCATTCACAATCATGAGCAATCTCACCACGTAAGGAAGGATTAACAATGCCTCTGCAGCAATCATCAATAGAAATAATTAACAGGTGATCAAACACGGAAAGCTTGTGAAGTAAACACCAAGCTGTCGGGTAGGGACTTCGCAAATTATACTGACTTTGCTAAGCATCAGTGCTTGAATTTATACGAGAATGACTTGGAAGTGAAGCTCACTTTGTATAACAACCCTAAACGAGAAAGTTTATAACCTCGATCTAAGTAATACAAAGGCTTAGGTAAATTTAGTATACCTTGTCCTGACTTCAGAGTAGATTGTTTTAACACTCGAGCTCAACATCAAAACAGCAAGGTATGTCAGCAACAGAGCGACTCTCGATCACCTTACAAAGTGAGATGTCAATGAGAAGGAATGGTCGCTGATAAGCTGATCCTCGATCTCGCACTCTAATTGGCTCAACGGCAGTGCCGAGTGGACCGGCGTCTGATCTCTAACCAATAGATAAGGCTCGGTTAGTTGGTCTCGTTTTAGTTTTATCCCAAAGCGGAAAGCAGCGCGTTGAAACTCGGATTCGCTTTGATCTGGCGGGAATAGTGTCAGAATTCGTAAAAATAAGCATAGACTCACGAAATCGACTTTGCTGACGTTCGTCATTGACTTTGCAATTTGTAGTATAAAAGACTCACGGGAGGCAGAAAATAGTCGGGGTAAGAAACAGTAAATCTCTCCATTCATATTTATCTTGATACAAATTCAGTCACTTCTTTCGAGAATGGAACTCTCCAACAAAGCCGCGTACCTTCTCACCCCCAACAGTCCCCTGGTCGAGGTCAAACCTGCACCTGTTCCACAACCTGGACCAAATGAACTACTTGTCAGAACAGAAGCCGTTGCTATCAACCCAGTCGATGCTGTCAAACAGTCCATGGGCAACATGATGTTTGAGTGGCTGACATATCCTCTCATTCTCGGTTACGATGTCGCCGGCACAGTTGTCAAAGCTGGTGCCGACGTTACTCAATTCAAAGAAGGTGATAGGATCGTGGGACTAGCAGCTGGTATGGATAAGCGCGGACGAAGACCTGATGAAGGCGCTTTTCAGCAGCTTGTCAGCATCAGAGAGCATTTGGCTGTTAAGATCCCTGCCGGTATGAAGAGCGCTGATGCGAGCGTCTTGCCTCTTACTGCTGTCACTGCTGCCTGTGCGCTCTTCCAAAAGGATCAACTCGCGCTTCGAATGCCTCAGATCAAGAGTCACCGAAAACCCATTGGTGAGACAGTCCTGATTTGGGGAGCTGGCACAAGTGTCGGGAAGAATGCAGTACAACTTGCTGTCGCGGCTGGCTACGATGTCATCGCGACGGCATCACCCAAGAATTGGGATGCCATTCGCGGCCTCGGCGCATCTGTAGTATTCGACTATCGGAGCTCATCGGTAATAGACGATGTAGTGGCAAGTCTGAAGGACAAGAAGTGTGCAGGTGCCGTGGCCATCGGTCAAGGATCCATGGCAAAGTGTGTCGACATCATCAAAACGATCCCCGGCGCTGAGAAGAAAGTAGCCCAAGTCACCCTTGATATGCCAGCATCACCACCAACAAGCAAGCTATCCATGATTCCTTTCGTCGCAAAGTATCTCTGGCTGTCTTCAACAAACAGACTCAAGGTCCTCAGCAGCGGAGTGCAAAGCAAGTTCGTTTTTGGGACGGATATTGTGGAGTGGGATGTAGAGGCAAAGATTGCTTTGTTTCTGAGTGAAGCACTAGAGCTTGGGGAGTATGTTTTACCTTCAGAAGCTCGCATTATAGGCTCTGGTCTGGAAACGTTTTCTGAGGCCCTGGAGGAGGTGCGGAATGAGACGTCTGGAAAGAAAATTGTAGTTGTATTAGAATAAAGCAGCTTTGTCCTTTATGTATCTACTGTAATTGCGCCCTGTGTCTGGTGTTGGCGGTCAACCCTACGCTTACTCCTCTTCATCAGGGGGGCGAGACGGGGGCGCACTCCGGGAACTTTTTCGGCGACAGGTCGGAAGCCCCATCACTAAGTCTGACGCCTTCAATCTCATCAACTATGATAGCCTGTTTGACAAGGTTCCCCGGTGTCATGGTACATTAACGTCAGGAATTCGCTGCATAGGGGATGATGGAGATCAGAGTTGGCGGAAAATCCTCGGCTCAGATTAACCAGGCTCTGCATATTTCAAGTCTTAACTTAACTGGTAATTCAACTTAACCGAGGTAAAGTCTCATAAACCTTATTTAATTGCGCACTTTGATGCGAATTATCTGGTTGTCGCAAGATTACTGCAAGATTACAGGGCCCGCAACAGGAATGTGGCCAGCGTGATTGCTCCAGCAGCGGCCGAGCCAAGAATACCAGCTGTAGTCCTCTCAACTTCTCCCCGACTGAAACCATAAATCACGGCGCAAATATCCAGTGAATCAGCCAGGAGACCGACCATCAGCGCCCGCCGAATGCTCCTGAGTGCGATGTCAGTATCGAGTGTTCTTAGAGACACGACTAGAGTCCATTGGGGGCCCTAGCTTACTTTCTACCACCATCCTTTGCCTCGCGATCCTCAGCTGTCAACAAGAGTCCACCATTGATAGCTTCTCGGTGTCCCATCATGCGCACAAGAAGGTTGTAGGGCGCCGAAACATGGTACCCGTGGGATGCGCAGGTGAGCTGAGGTGCGAAGAAACTAGCAGCCCCAATTCCAATTCGAACAATTGCGAGGGCCTTGGTACAGGTCAAGAGAACCGGGGGCAGAGGCAAGTGACTGTTAGTTTGAGAAGTCATTTTGAGTGTGTTGGTTGTCGTCGAGAAGTGATGCTAATGAATTTGTGAAATAGAAAAAATAAGTAAGTCTGTGCAAAACAATATGACTGGTTTCTTTCGCTTTTAGAGATTATAGTTAATAAACAGACTGACCAGCTAAGCAAGCCACCTTAAGATCATAATAAAATTTATTAATTATTATAAAAGCTTATATTAAAGGTTAAATTATTACATCTTTATTTATTAATTAAATCTATAGCCTATAGCTTAACCTTATGGATAGTAGTTAACTATGTCTTTTATCTACTCTAGGGTGGCATGCTTAGACTTCTAAAAATAAAACACAAGAAACATCTCTCTAACTACTTCTTATCCATGGACTTTCCGTGGAGTCGACAGGAAAACAATTTTCAAGATTTAGGACCGGAGTCTTGCAAGGAAAGGCAATTGGCTGGGATCATCAGTTCAGGGTCCTTGCATACATTATGGGGATCTCCATACACGTCACTCGGCAGCGGGACCTGGTACTCCGTATCAGTCCCTGAATGGTAATAACATATAGCCGAGGCTAAATGGTGAGTTTCAATAAGATGGAGGAATGATCTGCACTGCACCGCATTGACATTACAGTCGTTTCGGTTGTGGAATTGACCACGCAATGCTCCTTATTATGCTCGACATTAGTGTGCCAAGGTAGCCCGAGAGTCCGATGACCGGGATTCGGCTTTCAGTAACTGCCGTGATAGGAGTGCTTTTATTCCCCGAACACTCGGCACTCAAATAAGAGCACTGAAAGTCTACACCAACGAGCTTCATCATCTCCATCTTTGATTCAATCTCTGACATGGAGAAAATATCTGAGCGGACAGTCATCATTGCGGGAGGAGGTATATCCGGCCTCTCCCTTGCCAATATGCTAGAGAAGGCCGGTATACGCTACATTTTGTTGGAATCTCATGACGAAATCGCACCGCAAGTTGGCGCAAGTATTGGTCTTCAATCAAGCGGACTTCGAATCCTCGATCAGCTTGGTTGCGCCGATGATCTCATGTCATTGGTCGACATTCCACTCAACAATACCTACATACGATACCCCGATGGTTCAGTGATAAGGCATCATATCAATGTCCAAGATCATTTAATTGAGAGGTAAGTCAGAGAAAGAGTCCTAGTAAGAAGTGTTCTAATATTTACCCTCAATAGACACGGCTATCCCACTATTTTTATCGACAGGCAGATGCTGATGCAGGTTCTGTACGATAAGCTCGAATCAAAAGCCTCAGTACATGCTGGCCAGAAAGTGGTTTCAGTTCTGGAGCTAGACAACGGCGTCCAAGTTACGACAGATAAAGGCAAGGTTTTCAAAGGAGATATTCTCGTCGGAGCCGATGGGATCCACAGTACGGTCCGAAAAGAAATGTGGCGCATTGCGTCGCCGGGATACTTTCCTGCTGACGAGTGGTCAAGAGTGCCGTGCTATTACAAGTGCATCTTTGGCATCTCACGCCCCATTAAAGAGCTCACGCAAGGCAGTCACTACATCTACAACGACAAATTCTCTTATCTCGTTCTGTTCGGGCCTGGGGGCAAATTCTACTGGTTCCTATTTGTCAAACTGCCGGCTCCTCTATATGGCCGTGATATCCCGAGGTATACCAAGGCCGACGAAGAGAAGTTGGCTCTACAGCATGCATCCGATCAGATCACTCCCGAAGTTACCTTTGGTCAACTATATGGAGCTAGAACTAGTTCTACCCTAACACCACTCCATGAGTATGTTTTCGAAAAATGGCACTATAACCGTATCATCACCATCGGCGATGCAGCTCATAAGGTATCAGGTCTTTTCCGCTATCTGCCCCTTGATGCTAATCTTCACCATATAGTTTGAGCCATTGACCGGTCAAGGCGGTAACTGCGCAATTGAGACTGCAGCGTCTCTTGTGAACCACCTTACTTCAGATGAGGGCACGGACTGGAGCAATGCACAAACCGAAGCTGCTTTTTCCGCCGTCCAAGATGAACGTTTGCAGAGGGTCCAATGGCTCGTCGACGACGCCCACAAGATCCAGCAAATACATGCTATGGCAACACCTCTCCTAGCGACTATCGGTCCAATCTTGGCTCGTCTTTCAAGCACACAAACTGTACTTGAACTAGGTGCACGCAAAGTCATTGGTGCAACGCGAATAAATAGCATTGCTATACCTCGACGACAACATACAGTCCCATTCAACGATGAGCTACCCTCTCAGCCTCTTTCTTGGAGCTGGCTTCCTGTTGGCCTAGGAGCAATTAGCCAGGCAGCAATATTCCGGCTCGCGACACAGATTCTTGGACCATTGGAGATCCCAGCTACTTTCGGCGGCGAGCCTCTGGTGAAGCATTACACAGGGCTTGTTACCTTGGATAAGATCTTGTCACACTTGGTTGCTGTATTTGGAGTTCCTCTTGCTTCGGATAACGTGGCGGCGAACCTGCAGTGGATTTCTTTCACGCCGCTGTTGTTGTCAACTACACTTGACTGGACTTTGGAGAGCTACCAAGTTGGTTCAAAGGGTCTCCTAACTTCCTTGTAAGTCATGCATCAATGACAAGTATCGACAGTCAAGAGCTGACCGAAGTGTGATTTAGTTCGTCGATCTTCAGCACCATTTACCAATTGAAGGCGGTCGGACGTATCGCACCTCTATATCATTTGATTGCAGTATGCGAGAGTGTCTTCAGGGGATCTGTAGCCCCAACAACCAACCGTGCGATCGACAAGGAAGTGGTGGAGGCTTTCGTGCCCGGCATCACCCTAGGATACATTATTCCCACTGCACTGATGCTCTGGTCATTTAAGAATAAGGAAACTTGGCAGAAGGCCACTGCTCTTTGGCAGCCATTCCCTGTTTACGTTGGTCTCATTACTACTGGTCTATCGACTTTCATGCGCGGAAGGTGGGCCAGAGACACGCCTCGACCCTCGAAAGAGATTTCAGGCCCCAGAAAGCGAAAGACCGAAACTCACTCCCTATTGAGATCTGTATACATGTTCGGAACCGCAGCCACAGCACTTGTCCATATATACACTCTCTACCGCACAGCATCGAGTCCAGACCTCAGCTTTTCTGGTGTTTTTGGCAGCATCAGATACATAGTGTCTGGTGCATCTCCATCTGATCCATCAGACAAGATTCACGCGTTCTTACAACGCGACATGTTCTTAAATGCGGTTTCTGTTCTTGCCAATAGCTTCTACCGGACTCTTACTCTGCGCCGTTTAGGCTATATCACTAGCAAGGAAGCTTGGACGGCTTCTTTAGCAGCATTAGTCGCGCAACCAGTACTTGGACCGGCTGCAACTCATATTGCGTTTCTTGGGTGGAGAGAGGAGATGTTTATGAGGATCGATAGAAGGATCAATATATAGTGAGATGCTTTTCTATGTGTACAATTGGTCTTATCACTTTGAATTCAGCTCTTGAGCATTATGGACATGGTCTGATTGATCATTTTTTCCCATCATGCAATGTGATGATGGGTTGTGATTCATTCCATTCGTATGTATCTACTTCTTCGAGTGCTGATAATCTTATCGTTTCGGATTGATCAAGTAGTGAAGGGGTTGAAGTCAACGCCAAGACGATCAGCTTCAGCCTTCAACTTCTTGTTCTTCCTGGTCAAGTGCCACTTGATGATAGACGCAAGGGTAATACCAAGACTGGCAAAGACAATCTGCAAGATCATGGCCATGGTGTATCGAGGTTGATCTCTATCAGGGAAGAAATAGGGAGAGATGACGTTGCCAAGATGACCAAAGATGTTTACAATGGCACCACCAGCGGCTCGCTTCTCAGGAGTCTGACCAAGAGTAGAGACAGCCCAGGTATACTGCAAGGTATTGGCGGAGAAGCAACCAGCTGCGTAGAGGAAGGTCATGGCGTAACGAACAGCCGCGTTGCCAGTAGCTACGGTAACAATGAAACCAACAACTGAAAAGGAGAGGGGGATGATGATGTGAAGACCTCGATCCTTTCTGCGATCAGAGTCCCATGACACGTAGAAAGTGCAAAGAGTTCCGAAGACATAGGGAGGGGCAGTCATGAGAAGCGACGTGACGTTATGACCAAAGCCTGTTGAAGTTAGATGGGTTCAAGTGATCAATGGAGAATGCAACATACCAAGACCTCTGACAATGGTGGGGAAGAAATTGTTGAAGCCATAGGACGAAGTGATAAAGATGTTCATGAACAAGAACATGTAAAGCTTGAGATCGGTAACAGCAAGCTTTAGACCATGCATGACGGTCGACTTCTCAGAGAACTCAACTCTGTCGTCGAGAATTCTCGCAGCAGCAAGTTTACGCATATCCTCAGTCATGTATCGCGTAGCACCGCCAGTAGGAGAGTCGGGGTAGTTGGGCAGGACAAAGAAGGCAGTGATGGCGAAGAAACCACTGGCAGCACCCTCGATGATGAAGAGCCACTTCCAGCCAGCGAGACCCATGGGACCATCAAGACCGGCAAAGACACCGGCGGCGATGAGGCCAGAGAAGGCTTGGGCTAGGACGAGACCGGAGTATAGGAGGGCGACGCGGAGGGCGAATTCTCGACGGGTGTACCAGCAGGACATGAGGAAGACGGCCTGGAAGATGTTAGTGGGTGATTGGGCGTGTTGGGGGGAGGGGAGAGGGGCGTACACCGGGGAAGAGAGGAGCCTCGACGATACCAAGGACGAACTGGACGCCCCAAAGGCCACCAGCGCTGGTGCAAAGAACGGTTAAAGCTGAGATGGCAGACCAGATGAATGCAGCGACAGGCAAAAAGATAGAAGGTCGGACACGAGTGATCAACATGTTGGACGGCAGCTGAGCAAGCATGTATCCCACAGTCAAAACCGCAACAGCGGTCTATCAAGTTAGCACCATCCATCTAACATCACCACTCTCGAGTCACATACCTGATAATCTCCCTCTCCAAGGTTAAGATCCTCATTAAACGTGTTCAAACGCGCCTGCGCAATGTTCGTTCTGTTCAGGTAATTGAACATGTACAAGATCCAAAGCTGAGGCAACATCCACATGTCCAGCTTCCTCACAATCCTCTTCTCCAGCTCCGCCGCGTTGGGCATGCCCAGGCGCGCAACATGGTTGATGTCTGCAAACGCATCCGTGGCCTTCTCCTGCGCAATAGAGGGAGCGTCGTTGAGGTTTGAGCCAATCTCCTTGTGCTCGTCACCACCAACAGTTGGTTTCTCGTCAGACATAATGGCAGACTCAACAAAAATATTACACTAGAGGAAGAAGAAGGAGGACAGAGGAAAAAGTCTGTCTACCGAGCACTGAAACTTTGTTGAGACCGCCCTGTTTTTATACCCGGCGTGAAACTTCCTAATCCAAAGCCAAACTCCACAGAAAATGAAAAACAGGGTGCTGCGTCAAGACTGCGGGGAAGCGATGACGGGGAATATCATTTTCTCGTAGTAGAAGGTGCTAAGAGGCTTGGCCTGTGTAAACTCTCACAGCCAAGAGAAAGCCAAGGGAAAAGCTAAGTTGGTAACGGTTATACTGTGGGGTGAGGGTGATGTTACTGTCGGCGGAAGACAGGGTCAAATTCGGAGTAATTCTGGCGTAAGGAGGCTGAAAACGCGGCGGGAATATTCATGATGGAGATAGGGTATTACAGCCTCAACTCCTCACGCTAACTCGTAGATATAATGAGTGTATCTGAGATATTTCCCTCCTAGATTATAGTTTTGAGGATGGCATGACTTGTTTCTCAGCTCCTCTTGGCGAGTGATTTTCCCTCCCTTCCCCAGGTCTTGGTCGGCGACCACTTCAACTGCCGATTTCCCACCCAGCCAAGACTCATCTGGGGGTTTCTGGTCTGTAAGCGAGATCCCCTCACTCCACTATCAGTCGTTCCGCCAACCCTCCATTGCTCCAATGACCAGCCTCGCAATTGGGGTTCAGAAATGCCTCTTTTGTTCTTGGCGGCCCACGGGGAAAACCCGGGATGCGTGGGAGAAGCTTTTGAAAGACGTGGGATTGGGGTCTTGGCTGGAGCCTGGAGAGGAGTCTCATGAATCAGATTCCTTGCTGGAGTAACAGCGCGTGGGGTAGAACTCCACATAACTCGGGGTATCTGAGGTTATTTTTTGCTTGCTTAATGCTTAAATCTCGGTGAAGATGGAATAGGCGAAGGAATGCCAAGGTGAAGTCTCGGTGAAATAACAAGACCCGAGGATTGACGATTGAGACGTGTCATATCGCAACAATATTCCAGGTAAAGTACGCGGGTTCTTCACCCAACGTTACGCTGTCCCATATTTCTCCAAGGCGCTCAATACCGGGGTCTCACCTTTTCTGTCCGCAAGTGACGGAATGATTTGGAGCTGAACTGAATGCGTCTGCCGGTGGATGCACAACAACAGCAACATATTCACTGGTCAAGGAAATGCGCTCAGACTGAGAGATTTACGGTTATCATAGACGGCATATCGAATTATTCTTGGCTTTGCTCTTGGCTACATAATAGAGAAGGAAAAAATCGGAGCCGCAAATGGCCAAGATATTTTGTGTTTGTTCTAGAATAGGGTAACCTTGTTGTGATGCATGGTTGAGTGGCGGGGAGACGGGGAGATCCACTTATACACGGAGACAAGTCCGAGTCTCCAAGACCAGAAGATGGGGTAACGTAGTGGGTGAAGTATTTAAGTAACGAGTTCCCCGACAAAGTCTTGAGTGTGGCAGTCTCTTCACTGTTGGTTCTTCAATCACTTAATTCGGAAGAGTCATGCATACAATTACATCACACGATAATCCATCAAACACCTTTACACAAGCCAGATGATCACTTAAACCCCTTCGTCAAATTAATTCTCTCAAGACACTAATACATGCCGATCCCCCAGCTTTTTAGACGATCCCATCCCCAGACTCTTCGTCATCCCTAATAAGTATTCTTGGTAGCCAAGCCCCAGAAGTACGCCACCCACGCGCCAAGAATAAGCACAATGACGGCAGAAAAGTTGATAACGCCCAACTTCTTATGCTTCTCCGCGTGACCCTCACTCTCAAACTCCTGCTTCTTAGCGTTGATAATATGCCCGTTCTCAACTCTCTTCTTGCGACTCCACTGAAGCTGTCCAATGAAGTCTGTCGCGAAACCAAGAGCAATCATGATAGCTGCGACGACGACGGAGCCAGCTGCTAGTGTTACGTAGAGAATAGTGACGTTGTCGTAGTTGTTCTCGTCGCGGTCTTGGAGAACACCTGCGATGAGACTCACGATTATGGTCATGCTGTTGTTGATGGCGATTTTGATGGCGTAGCCTGAGCCGAAGACTTCTTGATACCACATGCTTGTACGGATGCTGTCGATGATGACTGTAGGGCCAAAGGAGCTGGCGACAGCAAAGATTCCGAAACTAGCAGCTGTGCCGGACACAGTAGGTCCCCATGCCACAAGACACATAGACAGGAGCATACCTAGTCCACAGACAAGCATGATTGTAAGACGCTGTCCGAGCATGTCGACAAAGATGCCAACTAGCGGAACAAAGAAGAAACCAAGGTATTGCGACATGGAAGAGTACCAGCCCGCCTTGACAGCTGAGATCTTGAACCGCTGCTCCGCAAGCTCAGTGCTATTCGTCGAAAACACATTAGCCGTCGACGTCTGAAACAGCGAGAACAAGCAGACCAGCCAAAACGACCAAGGCAGGGTAAGCATCTTTCCAATCTCAAACTTCTTATTATTCTCCGTCAACTTCTCCCCCGTCGCAGGATCCCTCGTGCCCGCATATCGCTTCTCACACCAGCGCGTAAACCACCAAAAGAACAACGTCGCGACGTTTGTGAACAAGTTCATAAACACAGCCATCCAGTACGCCCAGCTGAAGTTGCCGAGATTATCAGCGATGACATTGGCGGTGGCTTTTCCGACAAAGGAGCCGATCTTGCCGATGCCGAGCTCGAAGGCGAGTGTTGATGCAAAGCCGGAGGAGGGCGGGAACCAGGAGGAGAAGATCTTGTATTGGGCGACTTGGGTTGCGACGTCGCCGAGGGCTTGGATGACGATGCCGCCGATCATGAATTTGTAGGAGCGCACTTGGGTTGCGGCTGCGACGAGGATGGCGCCGATGGAGAAGACGGCGTTGCCCCAGAGCATGGTGCCTAGGTAAACATGTCAGCGGGAGTATGTATTCGGTGAGTTGAGGGTGTACATACTAGCTCCACCATATCGGTCTGTGAGAATACCACTGACGAGAATAAGAGCAGTCTTGATAAAGTTCTCGCTTGTATCAAGAACAGCATACTGCGTATTGGTGATGTGAAGTTCCTGTCTAGGTTAGTCAAGTTCTCCATTGAGAGATGGTCAGCCTACCTTCTTGAGGGTACTCTTTAAAGCACCAGTGACGCCACTGCTCCAATGGCCTCCAAAGCCAATCATACTAACGATGACGACAGATAAGATCTTCATGCTCAAGGGCACAGGCTTCTTGCCATGGTCATCGCTCCCACTGTCTGATTGGTCAGACGCGGGAGTGATGGTCTCTGTCTTGAGCTCTTTGGACTCCATGATGCTCTGATGATGCGATGAGATGAGATGAGATGGAAAAGATTATCAGATAAAACAGCAACGGCTGTCAGGTCTTTATCAGATCAATCTCGGTGGGGTCACCCTCCGATGTTTATATTTTCTCAACAAGGTTTTTCTTCTCTTCTCACGTTCGAAGCTAGGGGCAGTGTTAGCGGCCCACTTGGCGTGTCACTCACGCGAGCTGAGTCTGGACCCTCGCATTGTCCGATGTCATGTAAGGACTATTGAACGTTAAAACCTCTTCTAGAACGCTTCTAAAAAGGAGATGTTTATAATAGCGGGCGCATCCCCGGAAATACGTTTGCCATTTTACCACCAAAATCTCACGTTCATGACTCTCTCCAAGCCATTCTCCTTTTTAAAAAGCACACGAGTTCTCAGAATCTGATAACGCGTTCCCCGGTAGCTCAAAGCCCCCTAAATTACCATCTCCTCGGTACATGGGTGCAAATCCCTGCCGTAAAGAGCTAGATCCCCCGAAACCGCCTGACGTCGGAGCGAGAAGGTTTATCACAGTGAGACACCAAGACCCGCAAAACTCTTCCCTTCTCCCACTTCTCACTGTGAAAAAAAACATCAAGATCATCGCTTTGCAGCTGATCTGATTGATAACCCCAAAAAATGGCCTGTTTATGCGGGTGCATCAATCAACTGATTGATAACTTTGATCCGAAAACGGCCGCCGGTCTCGCGTCAGGCCTGAATAAGCACCTCGAGGCCATCCGAAGCATCCTCGCTAGGAATAAATCCCTCGCCAAGGAGGTTCGCTACCAGATCATCCCGAGCAACCAGCGCACAGCAAAGATCCTATCGCTGCATTCTATCGATCTTGTAAAGATTGAGAGGCTGCATAGCGTGTACAAAGATGACGTCAAGGGTTTCTGGGTAGCGTCTGGTGATGCGTTACACCAGGAGTTACGGCGGCGCATTTCGTGTATTACGATATTCTTGAGATCGAAAGTGGATGATAATGCGTGGGCGTCGCATGATGTCGCGAATCTCATACAGGGACGCACGTTGTCCGAGTTGCGATATGCGGGCAGCAAGTACATCAAGATCGCCCGACGCCTGGGTGGGATTGGGTCGATCCTCTGGCTGCCGCTAGAAATACCGGCCTCGACGTAAGTTTTTAGACTTCCGACCAATCGGCTGAGCTGACGAGATCAAGATATGAGCGTTACCTAAACATGGATGATGCCGAGGCCTTTGATCACATTAAGAACCTAGGCTCCGAGGCGCCGGACCTGAGCCTTTTCGTGCAGCGCCTCATCACGGCTCAACTTGACGGTCGGTAAACTTATATCCACGCGAAGAGGTCCGTGCTAACGACGTGCTAGATCCCTCGCTTGTCTCGTCACATCGAAATTTACTGCTCGAGTATGGAGACTGCATATCACCAGCCGAGCAGGGTCTTCTTCTACTACATGCTCTTGGCGGAAATGACATTCCGCTTGATTTGTTGAAATGCGCCAAGATTCCCATGAGACGATGGACCAATGAAGGAGAGATACAGAGTATAACGGCCTCCGATTTCGGGTTCAGTGCTGAAATAATCGGGTTGCTTTCTAGCGATGAGCGTCTTGCAGAATTGGGACAACGGCCGGAAATTACTCAGCAGGCGTTGGAGGATGGCACGATTATCTGGTCTTTATCGCCTGAGGCGCAGAAAGAGCTTTCTCATCGATTGACACCGCAGACAGCGGAAGATTGGGCGACGACGGCGCTCAGGTTGCTATGCTTTGCATGTCCTCCTTGCTATGAAGGCAAAGTCAATTGGTACGCCCAGTACGATCTCCCCCAACCCTAGCTTACCGTTGACTAACAATAAACAATAGGGCGCTGCCGCTGAAAAAGGCGATATGGAACCTCCTCGACAAAGCGACAAACCAGAAACGACTCCCCTCGTCACTCCGAACATGCGTCATCGAAGCTCTCCTCTTCTTCTGCGAGCGCGACCTCTTCACAATTCGCTATGCAGCTGTGGAACGAGCAAAGTCCCTCCTTCGCAAAAACATGTCATTTTACTACCAAGCATCAGTGACTCTCTTTGACAGCATAATTTCGCGCATAGATGGGAATTTTCAGCGGTCAGAAGCTCTAATCGTTGACTTTTTGGCGGCGGATCATGAAGGAAATACACGATCTGATAACGCCCTACGAGGAAGATTGCACATATCTAATATTGAAAACAAGATACATCGATATGACCCGGCAGTTGCATCGACGATATATAATTGGGAAGGAATTCATCCGCTTTCGACGTTTGAGATTGAAGTTACGAGGAGACTTCAAGGCGTGGCGGCAAAGTTCTTCCATTCCATTGGAGACTTCAAGACAACGAGGGCGTCTTTGGAACAGCATCTCTGGCTCAACTCGACGATGCCCATAAGGCCGAATACTAGGCTACTCATTGTTACGAGACTAGCTGAGATTCACTGCGAGTTGCACGAATACGAAAAAGCCCTCGAGATCATACAAGTTGAGCTCGATGGCATGACGGCACGCAAAGGCCGTCCGTTCCGAAGATTATCCATGGCCAGAGCAGAAGGCTACATTGGCCTCGGCCGCTTAGACGACGCAACGACTGTTCTTCAAGAGCTCATCAGCGTCGAACCGCCTGAACTCGATGACTTGAATGATCAAGTCCTTCGTGTCCGCCGTCTCATCCTCTCAGCGCGGATTCACCACCAAGGCAACAAGTTTCCCGAGGCGCTACAGCACTGGCAGCTCACAGGCCAAATGATAGACAGTCTATCGATCTTTAAGTCACGGCATGGCTGGACACTCGCTATTGTTCATTTATCCATGGCACATGCTCATATTGCGCTTGGTAATGAAGAACTTGCACGGCAGGCGTGGAATGCGGGCGTGGAGGTTGCGATGAGGGAGAGGTTTGAGTATGTTTTTCCTGTGCTGGCGACGACGTGGCTGCATAAGATTGTGGGGGAGATCCACGAGGTTAAGGGATGGCCGTTGAGGGTGATGTTGCCGGGAGGGAAGTCGGATTTAACTTGGCTGTAGGAAGATGTTATGTTGTTATGATTCCTGTACATAATTCCACTTATATTCTTGATAATAGAAAGAATAGACAAAAAGATATAATTTCGAATAAGCAACCTACAAAAACGAAGGGCAAGTGGCGCAGGGAAGATTTTAGGATTTAGGTGCGGAGTTTGAGAGTTATAGGTTCTAGGAGCGGATACCACTGCACCACTCACCTTTCGCTGGGGATATAGAGAGTGGTTTTGGTACACAAGGGTACGTGCTGATAACACTTCGTAGGCAGCATTTACCTTCGTATGCTGATTAATTGTTCCTATGGACCCAAATCTTTATAAGGGGTAGCCACTTGGGGTACTGCTGCCCGGGGGGAAGTTAGATCCGACTTGCCTGCACCACCATGCTCATGCTTCGCCGTAATAAGACGATCCTCTAGACCATCTCGTAGCTCGACCAGGCGAGTATCGTAACCTTCAGAGACATCAGCACAGTGTTTATCCTGGCCCTGGAGCTGTTCGGCATCACACTAAAGGGACATAAAGTTATCGCGAAAAGTCATATCAAGCTGTCTGTTATAGCTGTTCTAGATCTGTTTTGAGGTCTTGATATTCTTTTCCGATAAAAGTCTAATAAGTCAGCAGTAAGAAAAAGAAAAAGAGACGTGATCTAGAACGTGCGACCTGCAAAAACGAAGGATGAGCAGTGCAGGGAGGATTTTAGGATTTTCGGTACGGATTTTAGAAAGTACCCGTTGGCTCGACTTAGGTTGCCGCCTACTCCCTCTCTCAAAGGTGTGAGTCAACGGGTATGGGTTTTAGGAGCGGAACCACTGTACCACTCATCCCTCGTCGGGAATATGGATAGAGATTTTGGGATATAAGGGTATCGTGTCAAGGATAGAATGAAGGGGCAGGCTCTGGCTTTGAATGGCTCAAAAGAGTTGCAGTTGCCATACAGAAATTAGGAAAACCAATCATGAGAAGTTCTGCCTAATACTTAAACCTGGCAGCTGTGGTCCTTGTGCTTTTTCCCTGACGTATGTGTAGAAGCTGAGGTAGCCCTCATGCCTGGAGCCGTCGGCTGGTAGAGCTTAATAAGTTACAAACGGGAAGGAATGAAGTACTGGGTAAGGATAATACATACATGGCTACTATGATATTTGAGCTGAGCTTGAAGTTAAACTAAGTCTTGTGTGAAGGTATAAGTTTACAGCCACATTTCTTAACTGTAGATAATGTATCTGGCTGATAATTCAGATATTATACTTAACTATCTATTAGTTTACTACAATATAAATACTAATATTATAAAAACCTAAAACACAACTTATTTATTCGCCATAACTGGTGTTTGACTCGTTCTAGACTGATAATTCCGCTTGTATCGTTAGTCTATGCTTATAGTAAAACCCTAGCCTTTGCAACAACTTTGAGTGATTTGAGATCATCCGATCTTGCCTCTGTCACACTATTGTGATTTCCCCCTAAATCACTTGCTATGTCCTTCTCTAGTTCGTTCGTCTGCCCCTCGACGGAGAAGATGGCTGGGAACATGCATATTTTTATTTTCTTGCTGCCCATCGCAAGGTCCCTAGCGTTGGATGTATCATGTTGCATGAGTGCCGAGTCGAATGAACTCCCTGGTTGGAAGAAATAGTATTGAAACCGATTCACTGATAACGCTAGCTCTAATTTGATATTTAGAGCCTGAGATAGATTGCTCTTTAGCTCTATAACCAAAGTCTCCTCTTCTTCAGAAAGGTCGACTGGTGAGCGCTCGGCCATGTCGTGACTCGCGGAGGGCAGAAAACGGGTTAGGCTCGACAGCATCAGAGTACAGAGCCAATCACCTTTCTCTGACAGAAGCTCTTCCTTGACAGTGGGGTTGTTCAGTAGCGATCGTGTCGCAGCAAGGTCGAATGATCGCAAAATCTTGGTTCCAGCTGAGAAAGAGATTAGTCAAGGCCACTTGGAAGGAGGATATATTGACCCGAGGTTGCAATGAGAGTTCTGTATTGCTGGAAAAGCGGTGAGTCTATTCCTAGTATTTCTGGAAAAGCAGGCTCAAAGACCGTCTCAAATATTCCTACTGCCAATAAGCAAGCTAACAGCTTATTCTTTGTGATTTTAACGTTCTGGGCATGAGCGAGAAGCCCTCTCATAGCTCTACCGCTGATCCGTCTTGCCCAGCTATGCGATAATTCTGAAAACTCAGATGTTTGCCCAGGAAGACTGTCGTCCGGGCTCATGTTGCATATTGACGCACCTGCGTCGTCAAGGTTGAAATAAAGAACGTTGCACTCTTGTTTCAAGGATGTACCAGCAAATGCGACATTGTCTGTTTCCAGCGCTTCAAAACATTTGAATATGTGGTCCCGAGCGCCTGCCTTCTGTTTGAGGTTGAAAATAGTTGTTCTCAACATGTCTTGGTCAGATCCTGTCGCTCTAATTCGTTGACGCCGGAGCAGATCGTCAAGTTCGTATTGGAGTTTGGATACCTGGCCAATCAGCGAGACTACACGTCCTTTCTGCTGGAGGAGCTCTGCTTCGGCCTTTCGCAAGTTTGCCAGATCAGATGAAGTCGGAGGCGTTTGTGCCATGTCAGACACTGTGCTCTGTCGGGAGTCTGGAATAGCAGGTCCAAAATTGAGCTCAATGTCCAATGATCCAGGCGAAGATATAGAGCTGAGTTCAGACCCCGATTCGCTTTTGACTTTGTGTAGGTCCTCCCCTCTTGTAAGCTCATCGTCGCTCTCGCAGGCGTCACGGCCCCCTCGTGTTACCTCGAAGCGTGTTTGTGATCTCGTCTATGGGAAATATGTTAGTTGAGATGCATGACTTTGGAGGATAAGGGATTGAATGACGTACTCTGAGCTTCGGCTTTCTCTGGATCTTTTTCAGCACGATGCTCTGTGGAGAAGACGGTGCGTATTCTTCTCTCGACCCAGTGGCTCGTGTAACTGACAGCGTGCGTGATCTTACAGGAAAGGCTGTAGATCCACTGCGTAGGCGGCGACTCCAAGTTTGATCGTCCGCTGGAGGATCGAACTTGGAGCAAATTTCGAGAAAATCTTGCAGCTCTTGACCTTTGAACTCTTCAAGACCAGCTGTCCCAAGGGAAAATAGGTCATCGAAATCGTCGCATGTTCCATAATTTCTCCATTCCCTCTTTAGCTTGTCGCGAATGCGGCGTGAAGTAAATTCTTTGCCTGTAGCATTTTTAAGGTAGGCGATAGCAGTGCTTTCAAATTTCTGATCATATTGTACACACCAATTAAGATGCGCCAGAAGTTCGAGTCGATCGGTATAACTCCAAAAGAGCAGATCTTTGGGCTTCGACTTGGACTTTGCAGCCCGCTTTGATTTTCTATTTCTTTTTCTCGCCATATTTCGCAGCCAAACAAGATTGAACTTTTTGCTGCGCTAATCAAGTGGGAGGGAGAGTGTTAAGTTTGCTGGCTGATCCCTGTCATGCACGCGCACATGTGATGTGATGAGTTAATAGTCCAATGACAGAGGCAGGACAATTTCACCCTGCATATCTATTCAACCAACAACACGCTATGATTGGAGAACACGTAGTGAACGCGACACGCGAAACATAACTTTCTGCCTTGCTGCCTACTGGCTTGGTTCGCAAAATTGTCTTGAGGCTCAGCTCGGAGTATTCAAGATAAAAACCAGTTTTTGTGCCCCGAATTAGGTCCTGGCATCCACATTTTCTCAAACTAAACTTTGAAAATGTCTCTGTCACGGGCATCGACCATGACACTTGGCCCAGACAACGGACCCAGCTACCACATTGACGATGACCTCTTGGACCACATTGGATCGGAATCCTGTGAAAAGCGACTCATAATTGCGGTCGACTTTGGAACAACATATTCCTCTGTATCCTACGTTGAGATACCCAAAGATTGCCCACCTGACGTTGTGGACCCAAGATCTATCCGCTCGATCCGAAACTATCCTGACACCCTCGACTTTAATGTTAAAGACAATATGCTCATGGAAGTTCCCAGTGAAGTGATCTACCCCTTGAACCGTCACTTTCGAGAACAGGACAGCCTCATACGCTCACAAGAAGGTCTGGAAAGCGCGTCCAGCGATTCGGACGAGCAAGAGACTCACCATGACGCCCCAAGCAATGGAGTCCAATATTTGGATATTCGCGATGACGACGGAGATACGACAATGAACATTGATACCGCAGATCAATTCCATTGGGGCTATAAGGTCCATGAACTGTGGGCTCTCCCTGCCACGCACTCAGATCCGAGCAATCTGCCGCTATCTCGCTTTAAACTCTTGCTTGACGACAGCCCAATGACAGAGAGGGTTCGACGGGATCTCAATTCAACACTCAATACGTTAAAGAGTAGAAAGGTGGTTTATGGTCCTCTTCACGTCATCGCTGACTACCTTACCTATCTACTAGATCATACCCAATCTCAACTGCGGCAACTAGGGTATGAAGATAGCTGCCCTAAGGAAATGGTTCTATGTGTGCCTGCCATTTGGAATCAGCAGGCTTGCAGAGATATGCAAAAATGTCTAGCTGTGGCTATGAAACGTACGAACCTAAGGGGTGTTGATGTCCAGAATAACAGCATCGAGAATTTGTTTATTGTATCGGAGCCTGAGGCTGCGGCAGCTCATATGTTGGCCTATTCTACTCAAATCAGAGTATGATGCCTATTACCGCTCACAGATCCTGGTGCTAATTCCATCATTAGTCTGGACAAAGCTTTGTTCTTCTGGACGCAGGCACGACTGTTTATCTTCTAATCTCAGACTTGAGCTAACGGATCTAGGTGGCGGTACTGTCGATGCGAATACCTATCGAGTCAGCAATGAGGAACCACTCAGACTGGAGCATGAAATAGTTCAACCAGGCGGTAATGCTGTTGACCTCTGACCATAATCAATTCGCTGACATAGGAACAGGCGGCCTTCATGGATCAAGCTACCTTAACGAGGATTTCAAGGCTTATCTTTTAAATCTTCTCGCTGAAGAGACATATCTAGAGCGGGGCTCCGAGACCATCAACGGTATAGTTGAAAGAGTCATGATTGAACAATTCGAGCCAAAATTAAAACGGAACTTTGACTGCTATCAACGGTCCACAACCAAGCAGCTGGCTATATCAGGACTCCGAGACAGCCCTGAAAAAGGCTTCAGAAGGGGCTGCGTCGTAATGTCTACGTATGTAAATCCAAGGGTCTTTGAACATCCCGACCTCTTACTAATGCGATGGCAGAACTATTATCAAAGAGATATTCATGAAGCGCCTCCATAGTATCTTCGAGATTGTGAAAAGACAACTGGACGAAGCTTTGAGTAATGGCTGTGAAGTTGAGGTAAGCTATCTGCACCAGTGTCCCCCCAGTCCGCGGCCAAAGCCTCCTAATGCGCAGCTATCACTAGAATGTCGTTCTTATTGGAGGCTTTGGATCCTCAATATCGCTTGTTAAATTCCTAGAAAAAAGCCTGGCAGAATATTCTCGACAGAACAACTGTCATGTCAAGCTGCTGCTGCCAGAGGATAAGTTTGTCTTGCCAACTGACTTTTATGGTGCCATGCTGACCCAATATGCTCAGAAATACTATGGCCAATGCCGTATCACTAGGGGCTGTTCTTCGTGCTATGAATAAAAATCATGGACCTGAAAGAAGGGCTCGCTCCAGCTACGGAATTCTGCGAGCAGAGCCTTTTAAAGAATATCCTGAGCACCAAGGCATGAACCCATCTTATGATCGCCATGATGGTCTGCCATACATTAAGAAAACCATAGATTGGGTCCTGAAGCTGGTAAGTGCTGTAGTTTGCCTTGAGGCGTTAGCTTGACAAATCCCACAGGGCGCGATGGTTCCTTCGGTCTGGAACTGTGAACCTTTCACCTGTACCCATACTTTCGACGCTTGGCCACCACGACCACTGCTATGCAGGGAGATATTATATGTATCAGATCACTCCACACGATCGCACTATAGACTTTCACATCCTAATAACAAGGGTAAGAAGTCCCAGAATTTTAACAGAGTCGGCTAATAAATTGTTCAACAGGAGCCCAAGAGGTCGGGGAAATTGTTGTGGACTTTTCTGACTTACTCGAAAAGGGCTTGACCCCGGTAGAGCCAATCGTGTACGAAGATGGCCGCACACTTGGGAAAAGACATTACAGGGTCAATTTCACGATGATAATACAAGTAATAGACCGAGACTTGAGGTGTAAGTTCAAAAGCGAAACTCCCTTGGTCCGAAGCGAAGCCACTGACCTTTTGTCCACCTGGATTAGGCTACGCCATTTATAATCAAGAAACGAGGAAGAAATGCCGCATCAATATCGCATCGGGTTTCAGACCCGGTGTCAAATAGACCAAGTCAACTGAAAGGAAGAACTGGATATCACAAAGGAAGTCATGTCAGAAATAGCAACATCAGATTCCGACGTCCCTATCGACATAGAGTGCACATAGCCATCGGTCTTACCCCAGTTAGAATAGACGAATGGGAGACAAGCGTACAAGGGTCAACTCAGCACGTGATATAATCCAGCCCGAGTGAATTTTCTGCGCCAAAGACAAGTCTTGTGTCACCCTGTGCCTCGACACCTCAACATGTCTTCCTCCAGTGACGATGGAGTAGATCCAGTAGATCTCGCCAGCAACATCGGCACATGGGTCGCCGCTGGCGTAGCAATCATTGCGCTAGTCGGTGTAGTCGGTCCATATCTGGCATTGCAAGCATCAATGAGTGATAAAAACCGCGCCATGAACGCCGTGCAAGATCAACAGCAGAAATATATATCAAGAGGGTGTCGATTAACGAGAGGACTACGCGTGTTTAGAAGGGTTCGCGTGCCGAACCTTGCACCGGGTTACATCACCAATGAGCCGGATACAGCCCCGCTTATACCGCCTCTCAGTGCGGCTTTGGGGCGTTGGGGGTTCAAGACGAGGGATTATTTGCCGTGGAACACAGGATGGGCGAAATTATCGGAACTAATCGAGTCTTATGAAATACGGGATGGGATTAGCAACCGGCGAGTTGATTTGGACGTCCCCGAGACCGGCGGAACACTGGAAGTTGTGAACAGTCGAACTGCTTTAGTGGTCAACAAACATTGGATCTTGATGCTGGGTCTTCTCGGTCGGTATGGAGACCGTGTTGACAAAGGTATTCTACAGGGAAAGGGAATCAGGAGGAACTTTGATGGGGAACGAGCCTCGATTCGACATTTCGCTTTACCAAGGAAAGCCAAACAAAAAGAATCAAATTTAGAATTCGAATGGGTTCGCAAGAAACAGACTCACGCAATGAGCAGAAGGAGAGGCTCGTCCAGTCGAGACTCGGCAAGTTCAAGATCCTGGTCAGACAGCGATATGGACTCCGATAGAACCGTGATGGCTGTCCGCCGCAGCGCCTACGGCACCATCACCCTCGAAACAACTCCACAACCTACGATATATGGCATAACGGGCAAACTGCAGCAACTTGGTCGCCATAAAGGATCGTGGAGTTACTTAACTTCTGTATCGTTCGTGCCACATATTGCGAAAGAGATCTTTAAAGCAGGCCTCAATGAGAGGAGGGAAGGTTCCTCGTTGCAGACTTTGTTCTGGCTTGCTCATGGCTTTTTACCTTGTGGCAGAACTGCAGAGGGACGACAGATGGTGATATCTCTAGAAGCACCAGATCTTGCTCTTGCATCGATTGGTAGGAATGTGGATGATACACTGGACTGGCCTGCATACTCTCTCCAAGAGTCTGATGATGTTCCTATATCTATTGGTATTGCAATGCAGTGTCTGGGAATTCCAGAGCCACAGATATTGCAGTTCCTCCCACTCGATGCTGCCAGTCAAGCAAAGCGGGTGCTGGAAAAGACCAGCCATCACTGTGATGATGAGACTGAGAGTCCGACATTTGAAACGAACGAAAGGAACCGCCAGTGGGAACGTGAGCTACCAGCACAACCAGCCGGTCTCAGTCTCGATGGCCCTTGGGTTTGTTACTCGAATCCATTACAGGAAGACTTCTGCCTATTCCGAAGACGCGATTTCGAAAAGACCCTGAGACTTTTACTCACTATCGACTGGGACAGCTGGGGATTCTTAATATGGAAGGATAGGTTCTGGCTCTCAATTCTACGGCGGACTACTAGCATGCTGAAGATCAACGAGATATGTGATTCGGAGTTTGGGCAAGCTTTCGGACTAGCATCTCACTCTCGAATCTTTGATTGGAAGCAAAGTGGAAAGTTCTATCCGCAGAGATTGGCAGATCAGCTGTCCTTCGACAAGTTCCTGACCGGCTATCTCGACACCTATGATCTACGTCCTCTTCGTCTCTCACTGGGAGTTCTTTACATTTTGGATACGCAGCTCCGAGAGTGCACCTTGAAGGTATATGCTAATTTATGCAATAACGGAGAAAGCAACAATCCCCGTTCCCAAGCGAGGATAAAATACCTTGAATCAGCCCTGGAGGAGGTTGAGGCGGAGCACCGGTTTCAAAAGATCATGCACAAGAACGATGAAATACCATTTATGAACAAGAAGACGGCGGGTATTTCGGACTCCGAGTCTATTGACGAAGTCTATACACATATGTTGATAAGAGCATTGGATACTGAAACGCTCGACCGCTTCAATATCGTCTATGAGCCAGTGAGTACCCCGTTAACCAAGAAGAAGCGTGCTGACAATGAAAGGCCGATGACTTATTATACCGCATCACCGGGTACATTCCTCCCTGGGAGCAGGAAATTCTCTTCAAACATACCTCCATACGCCGAGATCTCTACCAACTCAAGAGCCGTCTGGTTGGTGGCGTGTTGGAGTACACGTACAAGACGAGGCAACTGAAATGGTACACCGATAAGACTTCGATGATGGAGTACAGCACTTGGCAGTTGACATCTCAAGATGTACTTGTGACTGGGGAGAAACAGTCCATGTGGATTGAGGAGAAGGATATGGTCATGGTGGCATTGTGGGTTGCTAATAGAGCGGCGATGTGGATTGGTGCTCAGGACTCAAAGCCGTTGTTGGAGTTTGTTGAAGATTTGGATACGTATGCGTATGTATTGTAGGGAACTCTGCCTTGTCTCTTTTCAAAAGCTTAGTTAGGGAGCATAATCAGTGGATGACATTGGAGAGGTCGGATTTGCATTTCTGACTAAATGCGGCATACAACTAAATATACATCGCTAGAATTAAGCCTCAATAATCTCATTCCCCTTCTCAGTAAACACCAATCTTGGAATGCTATGCTTGAACACATTCTCAGGATCATACTTTCTTTTCAGCGCCGCCAACGTCTCATAGTGCTTCCCATAGACTTTCTTGACATCAGCATCCTCATGAGTACCAAGCGATATATACGACCCCTCCAGGATATTATCAGCATCTTCTGCCTGAAGCTCAGCCTTAACCCTGGCAGCCCATCGAACCCGCTCCTCTGCGGCAGCCTTATCAGGAAGAATGGCGTAGATCTCAAACATATGATGACGAGCTCTTGTACCAAAAACAGACTTCTGCTCAGGTTCTTGGGCTGAGAGAAGCGTATGGTATGATAAGATCAGACTTCCACCTGGGGTATTGACGCACTGCTTCGCCAGGATCTCAATCGCCTTCTTAGTCAGAGTCTTGCAGTTCAGAGTGTAGACCCGACCGTACGAAGGCCAAGTAACCAACTTCTCATTATTCTCAAGCATATCCGCGAGGGTAATTTCCTGCGTATTCTCCATCACGCATGTCGCCGCCTCGGCAACTTTTTTGATCCACGATCGGCCTTCGTCTTTATCGTCGCCATGCCAAGTAGCGATGACCATAAGACTAACGGGTTGGCCGGGCATTTGGGCGATCATCGGTTGGAGTTGCAGGTACACTGGGAGGTCGCCTGATTCGAGAAGCTTTTCGTAGTGCTGGGTGTAGGATGTCAGAGCTGCGGATAGGTCGCTTGAGTCGTAGATGATCATGGACGAGAGGATCTATAGATATGAGCTTAGGTCGTGGATCGACTGAGTGAAGCTTACTTTGTTGACTGGGTAAACTTTGATAGTCAGTTCAACGATTATACCAAGTGATCCACCGCCGCCTCGGATGCCGACAAGCAGTTCTTCATTAGCATTCTGGACTTCTCCACGAGCATTCACTATCTTTGCTCCAATGATCTGGTCCACGCCGAGGCCATAATGCGATGTCAACGGGCCATAACCACCGAGCGTTGCCCATCCAGTATATCCTACGCTCGCGACAGTACCACTAGAGTATTTGATCAGTATCTCAAACTTGTCGAGCTTCATCGAGCGACTCACGTAGGCGTACTCAGGCCTTCTTCCACCAAGGCCTTGGCCAATTCACCACTGAGAATACCGCCACCGACTCTTGCGCTTTTCTTGTCCTCAGCTATGACAACGTGCTTGATATCTCGCATATCAATCACAATCGCCCCATCGACCAATGTTCGACTGGCGCAATCGTGGCCTCCCCCTCGTACGCTGAACTCGGCATTATGTTCAAGGCAGAATTGCACTATTAAAGCAATTTCATCGCCGTTTTGAGGTCTGACTACACCAAGAGTTTGAACAAGTTTCTCAACAAAACATTGTTCAACTTGCTTGTAGCCTGCTGCATCAGGCGCGTAGGTTTTGGCTTGGGTGTTAGCAAGGTGAGCCTCGAGCTTCGAAAACAGAGTCGTTGCAGTCATGACGCAAACGGCTTATGTGGAACAGACATGCAACAAAATTCGACGTCGCTTTGGACATATTTATATCTCCGGGGACTTCCAAGCGACAGCCCCGCTGAGCACGCTGACCTGTGAAGTTCACCCAATGCTTTGATGCCATAGCGTATGCATGTTTCTTACGACGAGTGAGTAAGCCAATCACCGCGGAAGCAGACGCTACGCTGACATCTCAATACAGCTCCTTACTGGTCTGAGAACGAACTAATGCAAGCCTGTCTTACTGCATTTGAGAGGCTTGTGTTAGTAAGACGGGATGAGATTCAGTGACGAACCCCTCTTTTCTCTGTCATCTACGGGGGTATTGTGTATAGTCGGTAGAGCCAACATTGGGCAAAATGGCTCAGCTGCCAATAAAGGACTTATGGAGCGCTGCAGGCGTCGGCGTAAGCACTTGCACTTCACTAGCGAGCGTATAGCGCATCCAGCGTATTACACATCTCGTCATCAAGGGCAGATCAGCTCTAGCCCTCCAGCTGTCGACGCAATCACCAAAAATCACCTAGCCTTCCGCAGGGATTCTCCTTAGGGCACGCTGAAGAGAAAAGGGATGAGCTAGTTGCTATTTAGTTAGAACTCCTGTTTGACATTTCCAGGAATTTATGGGAGCTGTAGGATTTAATCTGTTATCTAAGCGCCTAATATCGGCATTGGCTGCCGCAGGCGGGGGCTTACGCTGCTGATCTGTAGGGCGTAGCAACTTGTTGATAAGATGCTGCACCACTGCTGCAAGCCCGTCAGCAACGCTTGAATTACCGTCAACTTGGCAAAAATGGTCTTGAAGGTTGGAGTCATTGGCGCAGGCATTGGCGGCCTGAGTGCCGCCATTGCTCTTCGACGAACAGGCGCCCAAGTTGAGGTCACTTGATCCATCACCCCAGGGAATCAGCTTTTCTGACATTGCGCAGGTCTTTGAGAGGTCCAGCTTCAAGGATGAGATAGGCGCTGCCATCACCATCACACCAAATGGAATGCGCGTTCTTCGACACTTCGGGTTTGATCCCAAGACAGCGCGCGGTGTGCAGAATAAGCAGATGCGTATGGTACATCCGCAGACTCTTGAGGATCTTGTCGTCGAGAACTTTAGACATGTTGAAAATGACTACGGTGCGCCGTTCATGTTCTTCCATCGTGTGGATCTTCATACTGCGCTGAAAGAGATGGCTCTATCGAGTGATGAGCAATATCCGGGTCTGCCAGTGGTGATCCATAATGGTCATTCTGTGACGAGCCTTGACTGTGAGAATGCCACGATTATGTTGGACAATGGGGAAACCTTTGCGAAAGACCTTTTAGTTGTTGCTGACGGCGTTCGAGTAAGTCCCGTATATACCATGTTGCCGTCCTCAGTAGCTGATCTTCTTGGACCAAACTCATCAACCAAATTACCCAAAAAGATGTCCCTCTTGAAGATATCGGCTCCTCATTTTACCGGTGTCTCATCCCCTTCTCGGAGGTTAATAAAGACCCCGATCTTGCCGCCATCTTTGAAGACCAAGATCCAGGATTCTGGGTCCCCTTTGACCTATCTACTGGGACCTTTCTCGTTACATATCCCTGTCGGAATGGAAAGATGCTCAACGTCGCTTTTCGTCACAAGACTAAAGCTGAAAATGAGCACGCGGTCGATTGGAATACTGACACGAACATTCAAGACATCACTGCCATGGTAGGTGGGTTCAATCCGCTCGTGGCTAAATTGTTTAGCTTGTCGACAAGTGTTTCTGTTTATAAGCTGTTCCGTCGGGAGCCACTTGAGACGTACACTCGGGGTAGAGCGGTCATAATTGGTGATGCTGCACATCCTATCCAACCAACGCACGGTAAGTCGCCTCGGCCCTAAGAAAGCTATCACTGACATGTCAAACAGCACAAGGCGCAGTTCTCGCGACTGAGGAGGCAGCAGCACTAGAAGTTCTCTTCAAAGACATTCAGCGTCCAGAAAAGGTCACAGAGGGTCTGTCTTTGTACAATGATATTTTGAAACGCCGCATTCATGTTACTCAACTTCTTTCTGACGCGCAGCCTGGGATTTCTAGCGTGCTGCGGCAACGAGCTGAAGATATATGGGGAGAAGGGATCTTTCCTCCTGACGCGATGAACTTTACGAGACTGATTCGAGACTTCTTTTATTCTTATGATGTCATGGAAGAGGCGGAGAAGGTTTTAACACGTGCAATATAGTCAATAGTTCTTCGTGAGATTCAAACACTTTCCTAACTCTAAAGATTAGTTCAGCTTTTGGCCAACGTTCACGGTCTTGGAATAGCGAAGATACGGGCACGAAATACCCTTGCAAGCCTCTCATACGTTAGGGAGTAGAGATACTGTAGTTGTGTTGGACAGAATATCCGCAAGCCTACCTTCATCTTGTATCTGACCTTCACGTATTTTCCCTAGAGCAGTTTGTACACAATGGTGCAAGAATCAATATTTCAGCCGTTCCGAGAGCGATGATCTTGCACCGCAATTATGATAGTCCGTCTCTGAATGATGATCACCCTAGCGCATTGCTGCCCAACCTAGAATGGACGATAAGCCGCACCTTTACCAGAGTAACGCAAAGTCGACTTGTCTCTAATAATTGCTTTAACGACTCAGCCGACCTGTTACTGATTCTTTCCAATCCACTAGGTCTCCGTGCCAAGGATGGCTACTTCAAATGTGCCTTGGGACGAAATCTCAATCAAGAACTCGTGTGCTCATCGGGTATTGCACGCATCGCGCCAAATCACCTTTCCTGAATTAAGCTCCTCGGCAAGCTCGTGCCGCATATGCTGTATCTATCGAGACATTGCTTTAGATTGCGTGAGAGGTCACCTACCAGGCATCTCAGAGGCATTCTTCGAAAACGAAACTGAGGAGAAATTGAAACTTGAGTCATTGGTCGTCTCAGAATGGCATGAACTTCTTAGCATCGAACTATCAGAGCAGAAAGCCAATTTCGAGGTATTCATGGATGCAAGGGCCGATGCAATTGAAATCTTGGGAGAGCATGTGAGCAGCAGATACCGTGTTGGGCGATATACAAATTCGAAGGACAGTTTTGAACGCGCAAGAGAATGGGTATCCGAGTGCGTGGCCAAGCATGCCTGTCCCAAGCCTATAACTGCAGAGGTACCACTTCCAAAAAGGCTGATTAATGTTGAGGGCGCTCTCGAAGATCCTGTCAGGTTGGTAGAGACCCGAGGAGATGAGTCCCCTTATATCTGCCTGAGCCATCGGTGGGGGGATCCTACACATAAACAACTAAAAACAACTACACGAACCCTTGACAGCCACATGAAGAATATCGAGTTGGAGAGTCTACCTGCTACATTCAAAGATGCAGTAACAGTTTGCCGGTCAATGGACGTCAAATATCTTTGGATCGATAGCTTGTGTATCCTACAGAGCTTCGCGGATATAACCCCCAACGAACTCGAAGCCACTAGGCGGGACTTTGCTCAAGAGAATTCCAACATGGCCAGGACTTATCAAAACTCCCATTTCACCATTTCTGCCGACCTCTCAGACCACATGGACAGCGGCTTCTTTTCCAAAGATCCTGTGGATGAGTATAGAAAGGAAGTTACCACAGATAGCGGGAATCAAGCGTTCTGGTACATCCGCAAGCGCATCAACCACTACCGAGAGGATATCCCATGTCTAGAGACACGCGGCTGGACTCTTCAGGAATTCCTCCTTCCCCCTCGTGTACTTCACTTTGGCAAGTTCGACATTGCCTGGAGATGCAAAACACGAATCACTTGCGAATGCGGGCATATAGACAGGCAAGAGACAAAGCAGGCGCGCTGGCATCGATTTCACATGACTGAAGAAGCTGCCAATCCTCCCCCGAATGACTCAAAAGGTGCTTGCGAGTGGTGGGAGCGGGTAGTTCATGCGTATACAAGTCGGCAACTGACCAACCCCGCCGATAAACTTCCAGCATTGTCAGGTCTAGCTCAGCAGCGAAAGAAGGTCATAGGCGGCGTTTACCTCGCAGGGCTCTGGCTGGACTCGCTTATCCATGATCTCTGCTGGTACCATGTCTCCAATTACAACATGGCAACTTCAGGTGGTGTAGGCTACAGACCTCCTTATTACCGTGCGCCTTCATGGTCTTGGGCCGCTGTCGATACCGATTCAGGCTGTAGCTGGTGGTGGACCGGACCAATCGGACTTCATTCGATTCTACTCTCTAAGGAGCCAAAGCAAGCATGTGCCATCGTCCAAGTGAGCTGTGAGCCTGCGACGACTGACCCTACAGGCGAGGTCCGAAGTGGATGTCTGGATATCAAGGCGTCGTTGGCATCAGCTGAGATCTGCTTGGATTCTGAAGAAAGAGTCTTGTGGACCATCCACGTACTTGACCCTTCGCTTACGGTACATTTCTTCAAGCCTGATTGCGTGCTTGAGGATGATGGTCTGAAGTTGGGAGATCGAGTCTTTTGTGCTCCAATTGCTTGTATCAAGCGCTCCTATGGGGTGGATTGTGCTTGTCTGGCTTTGAAGCAGATTGATGGCGACATTTATCAACGAGTCGGATTCTGTATTGTCGGTGTAAAGCGTGCAGACCTTGAATCTTATTATGAAGATACTACAGCGTCGGACATGGAAGACTTTACGTGGCCGGGTGGTGTACAAGTGCAGATTAGGATTGTATAGCCGACACGGAAATGGATAATATAATAGTTTAATATCAATTGATTAAGCTACGGACTTTTGAGCCTCACGTTATGTCTACGAATGCTGCAATATCAGTGTATCTACCAGATATCCTCCTTCGAGATGTTAGTAACGGTGTTAACCCTGGATGTTAGATGCTTACCTGATATCTCGCAGTATCCCTTAGACCTTTCACCTTCTCTGTTGCGCTCTCAATGGGGATATTTTGTTGTTCGGCCCAGATTGAGATGAGGGTAGAATTGACATCCCTCGCCATGTGCTTCGCATCGCCGCAAACATAGACAATCGCTCCGTTGTCAATCATGTCAACTACTTCCTTGGCGTGAGTCTTGATTAAGTGCTGCACGTAGACCTTCTGCTTAGTCTCTCTTGAAAAGGCAACGCGTATGTCGAAGCTGTCGCCTGGAGTATCCTTATATTCCTGTTGGTGGGTCAGCATCTGGGTAGGTAGATAATTGGGAAGTCACTTACCTTCCACTCTGACTCGTAAAGGTAATCTTCATCGCGTCGCCTACATCCAAAGAACAACAGACTCTTTCCAACATTCTTACCCTGCTTCTTCAACGTAGCTCGTTCTTGCACGAAACCTCTGAATGGAGCAACACCAGTTCCCGGGCCGATCATGATGACGGGTTGAGACGAATCCTTGGGGAGTTTGAAGTTGGACTTGCGAAGATGAATTGGCGCTTTGAAGCCAGCGTACTTCTCACGAGGACCGTGTATTTTATACTCTTGTGATTGAGACTCTTGATTCTGAGCCTGTTTGAGTGAAAGAAGGTAGTTCGTAGCAACGCCTTTAAAGACATCAGGTCGACCTTGAATCTCGGCTGATTCAACTGCGACAGTGATTGAAACTGTGGAAGGTTGGACGATAGATGATGAGGAGATGGAGTAGTATCGAGGCTGGAGTTTGCTGAGTCCTTCTACGATAGCTGAAAAGGGTAACTTGGTCCATGGTTGACCACCACTAAGCATACTCAACACTTGAGCAAGTGAAAGGCACTTCTGACTGATCCTTTCGTTGAAGTAGAGCTTGTCACTACCGAGCTTGGTCGCCTCTGTCTTCGCAGCGTCGGTAGGTGCAAAAGCAGCAATGACGTTGATGAACTCTCGAGACACAGGTCCAGCAATCTCAAGATAATATCGCAGCGTGGCAGCATATGTCGTTGGTGTAGGAACGGGTGACTTTGCAGTTGCCTCCCGACTAACAATAGAAATAACCGTGTCCTTCTTCTCTGTTAACCCAAGAATGTTGAGAAGTTGCGTGACTTGGTCTTCAGAGTTGGTCGGCCAGATAGCGACGTGATCACCAGTCTCGTAAGATAGACCCGAGTCACCGAGATCTATCTCCATGTGAATGCAGTTCCGATCCTTGGAAGTGAACACCTCGCGAGACTCGGTGATATTGGCGATGTAAGGATTCGTGTTGCTGAACTGACGGTTGGCTGAGCTGGTATCAAGATGATCAGCGTTTGCTTCGCCAAGAAACACACCAGGCGAGCTCGCATCCAGATCATCTCTTTCCAAAACACCAAATGTCGACTCATAAGCAACATCTCTCTCTTGGAGCCCAAACTCTTGAACGAGTTTCGGCCACATATCCTGCTTCCATGCCAAAAAGTCCTCTTCAGTCGTCCCAGCTGCATCATCAGCCTCCCCAATACTAGCAAGATTCTTCGCACCAAGACCATCCAAAGCTTTCGAAATACGCCTCACCATAGCGTTATAATGCTCATATGTGCTATTCCCCAGACCGAAAGCAACATACTTGACGTTCTGGAGATCAACATCCGGTTGATCACCATCTTCACCGCCAGTGATGTAGGTATAAAAGTCCTGAGCGTTATCCGTAGGTTCACCCTCGCCGTACGTAGCGAGTACAAACATCAGAACGACCTGCTCTGACAGTTCTGAGAGATCATTGTAATCATACTCCTCAAGATCAGCGACCATGGGATCAAGGCCATAGCGTGAACTAGCTTCTCTCGCTAGTTTCTGAGCATAGTTCTCTGCAGTGCCAGTTTGCGAGCCGTAAAAGATGATGCAGTTCTTGCCGGTGGTGTTGCAGATGTGAGAGATGCTTCGAAGACTGTCTTCTTTCGAAGCTGTTTCTTCAGTTGTTGTGGCAGGCTTAGGGAAGAAGAAATTCCGTAGTTTTCCATTGGAGAGATAGGCAATTGCTCCTAGAAGTAGAGAAAGAAGAACGATTAAGTCTGTTGAGTCGATGATGGGGGACTCTGTTGTGAGTAGAGCTTCGTCCAGAATGGACTCGTTGGTCATGATGTCGATATCAGCCATTGCGTCGAAGACCGAAGTAGAATTGATGGTAATGATAATTTGAAACTATTCACAAATCTTGAAAGCCTATTATATCATTTCGAAGTCATCGCGAAGTTTCTCATGGCCCGAGTATCCGGCGCGGAATCGTTTTCCGACAACCGAGCTTTTGACGAGTTGCCATACAAAATGCATCAACCAATCATAGTCGCCATAAAGTCATCGGAACTTTCGCAATATTTCCGAGCAGAAGGCGAACAAAGGCGTTTAGCAAGATCAAGATTTCGGGCATATTGGGAAATACGGATATACACATCACGATGCTACTTTTGGTAACTCGCAGTCATACAATGTTTATATTTTGATGCCACTTAAATAATGTACCAGGTTTGTGCGCAGATATTTACAAGCCCTTGGCCAGAGGCTTCAAATCTCAATACGACACCGAGATCACCCAAATGATACATCATGGGTATCAAGCCGCATTCTTCCAAGCATCCTTGACCAAACTCCACGTCGCAAACACCGCCAGCGGCGAAACAAAAGCCTCGGGTATCAAACCATCTTTCAGACTCCAATGAGTAGCAACACTAGCCCAGGCCAGGTTTTGAAGCATATCACTCTTCCACTTTGCCTTCCATGTCTTTGTAGCCAGTTTCTCTTTATCCTGCACAGTGTTCATCCACTCCAGTGACAACCGCCCAATCTCAATCATTGTGAACGCGGCCCAGGAGCGAATTGCGAGGAATGTTAGCTTCTCTTCTGATTTGGCTGAGCGTTTGAGAATTCCTTTGGAGGAGAGGAAGCCAATTGCTTCGGAGACGTGGAATGAGGTGAGGCAAAGGATCTGTGAGGCTTGGATTCCTACGTGCAGCTTTTTGACGTGTTTTCCTGCTGATCGCTCGGCGGAGATGCGTCTTATGAGATCTCGGGCTGCCTTCCACATGTCCAAGACGCCAAAGAGGCGATTCATGATCTGCCATTCATCGAGCATTGCACAGAGTGCTCTTGAACAGTTTGCGGCTCGTGTTGTTGATGTAGCCATTGAGTTGATGTGAGATATTGTGAAAAACGACTTGGTGAGGCCTTTGAGTCTCTTGCTTTGAAGCTTTTGGAGGTAGGATGCTAACAGGTCCATGATGAATGTGACCAGGCGGACAGCTTCGCCAGCAAATAAGAGGACGACATCTCGACTTTCTCGCGACTCAATCGTTCTGTGTAGATGAGAAAGAAACTCTCCAAGTTGTATGTTTCTGAGTATTGAGGATTTCGCGTGACAGTCCGGTGAAGAGATCATGATGAACACCCGTACGATAACAGCGAACAGAAGAACGCAGGCGATAGGAACAATCTGATATCTGATACAAGCCTCACAACAAGTCAACAAAGCAGTACGCGGTCTTTCTGCAATGATACAGCATTGACTAATACTTCAAAGGTTCCGACCGGAACGAGCAGAGTGAAATTGATAAGAATAGTGATGAACAAGCAGTCGAGTCATGGAGACGCATACGTGAGCGTAACACTCGGAATGCTCTAGTTCCGGGCTATCTGGTTCCGAAGAAAGATGAGATAACGTACATGATAAGCGAGTGTTACAAACAAGCGAGTGTTACAAAAATCTTAACCCTTGAGACAGGAATCGTCATGAGAACACAACAAATCACGCAATCAAGTAAAACTAATCGCTTTCCTCTTCTCCAGACATCGAAACAACTATTTGACACGTTCTCGCATTATGCCCTACCTTGCCGCACGTTCCACAGTTCCTTTCCTTTACTTGCGCCGACC